CTTCTTCTCAGGATGTTCCTTCTCATAGAGAAGAAAAGGCACCCATGACATCTAATGAAGTAGTTGCTGAAGCTAAGGCAATAAATGTGGCTAAGAATCAGGCAGAGGCAACAGATTCATTTATTATTAAAGCTCCAACACATGTTGAAACAAATCTTCATCTCTTAGGAATTTTCAACTAATGATGCGGCAAATTCAATTGCTCTTCAAAATCAATTTGATAAAGCCAATGGGTCTCGGTTGTCGGTTCAACAGTCAGAGATTGAAAAACGAAAGAGAAAAGAATAAAATGGTTCAATGAGTCTATCCTCCATCGTATATTGTTATCCGAATTATCAGTGCTAGAACCAAAGGTCCTTAAAAGTTGACTTACGATTCAAATCAAATCTATCTGATAATTGGTAGAGCAAATGGAGTAGTGAGAACAGAAAAACTGTCATGGATAAATATGTATGTGCTCTCTAAGTGGATGGAAACAATAAAGTTTCTCAAGAAGAGCAGAAGCATGTATCGAGAGTTTTTCTTGAATCATTTGTATCGTCTCTTGAAAAATATACAAATGATCAAGAAGCATTACAAGCTATCTTCCCTTCCACAACTCTTTTCTCTTAAGTTACTGTTAAATAAAGTTGGCTCATCTATATATGCTTATGCCTGTTAATCTGTCAAGAAGCAAGATTATCTTATTCAGAAGTTGTCAAAGGAAGGTAAGGTCCCCAATGTCTCACCTCTTGATCTTACTATTCCTACTAGTGACTATCATCCAGAAGGAACTATCTTGTCTATACATGAGCATGTAATCTTCTTTTGGGACGTGGGTAGTTGCCTTCGATTTTTCCAAGCTTCTGAGATAACAATAGCTGATTCTCACTTACTTTGTGTGATAATTAGTATCATTAAAATTGGTGAAGCCGGAAGAGTCTTCTATACCTTAATTTCGGATGAACTGAAGAAAATAGATGCTCTTACAGCCACATATACAAATGTTATGAAAGTAGATGATAACTGCTAGTTGATCTATCTATGTGACTTCTTCTTTTTGAACTATCATCTTTACTTTATGCATTTAAATTCATTGTCTAGTATAGACATTTATATTTCAATATTTTATTAAAATTTATTCATTCTTTATTTGTTGCATTCTTTGATTCATTATTTGTTTTGTATATATGTTTACAATAAAAGAAAAAAAAAAGAAACCAAAAAGAATATATACATGGGTGAATTTTTAAGTTCTTTTTCTCAAAAAAATTTAAAGTTTGTATATCTTGTATTTATTTCTTTGTAAGTGTTCATGTCATCATCAAATAGCGGGAAATTGTTGGGTCATCTATTGATTTGGGGATGACCCAGTGATATGTTCCTCTATCCTATCAACACTTAATCATTATTGGTTTCTTGCTACAAACTTAAAGCCGTTGGCAAAATCGAAGACCAATTGATGTGAAGATAGAAGGTCACCGATGTGATACTGTAGATCAATTGTCTAAATTATACACCAAGATTCCAAAGTAGTTGATTTGAAGATTGAAAATATTTTGAAACTACTAGCTGATTGAAGGAAGATCTTCATGCACTGAAGATTTGTAAGTAGCTGTTTGAAACTACTAATACATCCAAAGAAGATCTCCCTACAAACTGACCATATCTCTACATGAACAATTTTGTATGCACGCGATGTACGATGAAAATGAGATATCAACAATGGTTAAGTCAACCATTGCCTTCTTTATCCTTAGTGACAAGTGTCCCATGCATTTAATTGCATGAAGGTAGTATAAAAGGCAATATGCATCTCCCATGCAAATATACCTCCTTGAAATGAATTTCTAAGTGCATTATTAAGACAATCGGCTCTCTCTTCTTCTACTTCCATATCTCATGTGTGAAGAAAAACTTAGTGTTCTTCATTTTCTTGCAAGTACTCTCTGTGTTGTTCTTCTATGTGTAAGATTGTTTAGGTTAGGTTATCCTTTCATTCATTCGCAATAATCTATATTGTATCTCTATGTGTTAATTCTTGATATACATCAATAAGAATTAAAAAGTTGAAAAAATTATGTGTAATTGTATCCAACCCCCTTCTACAATCATCTTGTTAGGTTAGACTCAATCAAGATTCCAAACCCAAATTCTTAGCTTTCAAAAATGGATATGCCACCATCTTCAAGTCATCACCAACAAAGTTTTAGGGTTTCCAAGCCACTCACTTCCTAAAGTCTAGAAATGAACCACAAACCAACATAAGCTTTAATTTTACAAAATCTTTTAATACTTAAAACTTACCATTTTCCAAGAACTTGAGATTCACCAAACAAAACTCTTCCATTAAATCTTTTTAAATCCTCAACCTAACTTTCAAACACAACCTTTGAAGCAAACAAGATAGACCCCCTCCAAACTCTTCCAAAGATGTCGCCAAGGTTTCCTCAAATCACTAAGAGGATGATAGAAAAGAAGGAGAGGTGGGGGAAGAAAATGAGTCAAAACCCTAAAAACCAGGCTTTTATGTGTCTACAAGTCATACACGATATGCATCCCAGGTCGTATATCTAGTCGCTTGTCCCCAAATTCTCACTTAGAACTTCATATATGCGACCACAACTGAAACCTTTGTCGCATATCCGATCGCCTAACTCTCTGTTCAATATATGCTACCTCAAATGAGACCTTGGTCGCATATCCATTCCCCTAATTTTATATGCTACCTCAATTGAGACGCTGGTCGTATATCCGGTTGCGTAACTCTCTAATTCAGAATTTCAGCTCTATTATACATTTCAGTGAGTTAGGAGACTTCCGCTGCGACCCAAGTTGCGTGCCATGTCATCAGCATCCTTTTGACGCTCGGAAATCCTCATTTTTGTTATCTTTTTCACTCCGAAACAACCCATGGAAAATAAACACAGTTTATCCCCAGTAACTCAACATTAATACATGACATGTAATTTGATTAATCCATAATTGTATCTCATAAAAATTTGAGTGTTACATGTTTGGTAAGTCAAACATGACACAAGACATGTCAAAACAATTAAAATGACCAGTTCTTCAAAATCTTGCCCCTATGTTCGTTGGGAAAAAGATTAGAGGATAAACAAGTGGTGGGGGAGGTGTAGTCATCGATGGAGATGGATTTTCATTGTTGCATTCCAAATTTAGATAACAACCCAATAAAACCACTATGTCTATTCGAACATGCAATAGATCTCGAACATGCAAGATCCATCATCTTCTAAGCTTGCAACTCCACCCATCTTCGTCGGTGTCCCTCACAAATCAAGATCCGCGCCATAAATTTTCATTGTTGTTGGCGAACGGAAAGGAATCCAAGTTCTCTGACGGCTACTTTCTTCATCAACGAATTTGTGGTGTAAGAGGAGAAGACGTCCTCCCTGATTTAAATGAGGTGGTTTAGGTTTTAGTTTTAGTTTTTTCCCCTTAAATTTATTTACATCGTTGTACATATGTCTTCCAAACTTCTACGGTAAAAAATAATTAGAAAATACAAATAACCAAGTTGCCCTAACATGCATGATACATGGTAACTTAACGAAATAAAGTTAACATTCAATAGGGACATAGACCTGGACGGTATTAAATACCAACCATAAGGTCAATGATCTACTTATTGAAGTCAAATTACCAAAACCAAAGTTTTGGTGAATCACATGGAGAGTTTTTGCAATTTACTCGTACATTTTTTATTTTGAATTGAGTTAATTGCATTTTTATCCTTGTAGTTTGATGAAAATTTCGATTTTCATCCCTACAGTTCAATTTTTTTTTTTGTGGTTTCAATTTTACTTTGAATACGGTCTTTAGCCTTATAGTTGTCGTTGACACAATTAAGTGTCTTTCACATGAGAGCAATTTGGTCATTTTACCATTTTATTTATTAACCTTTTTGTGGTACAAGTTTACACATGCACATGTACAAGCATTAAATCACTTAAACTAAAAAATATAATAAATTAATAAATCACCCCCATTGTTCATCTTTCTTCCAAACTACCACACCAAATTCGGTTTCTTCTCAAATCTGCCATCCCTGAACGCCTTTCATCCTCTACTCACCATTAGCCACCATCGTTTCCGCCATACACAACCACCATCTTCTCCTGCACTCCTCAAACTCACCCCTTGCAAGTGTCTAGATGGCCCCCTTGAGCTTTGTGATGATTCATGTGATCCTTACACACATACACACACACACACACACCAATTTCATAAATTTTTTTGAAACAACTTCATAATATTACCAATATATATATATATACACACACACACACACATACACACACACACACACACATATATATATATATATATATACATATTAATGAAGGATGTACATTAGTTTTTAATAGTCACTAGGTAATAAGGAGATGAAGAGTTGTAAGCAATGATGGGAAGGAATGTGGAGAATAGGGACAGAGAAACGGGGGATGATGGATACGACAAGGAGGGGATGTTTAGGGTAAGTAAGCAAATTGCTTTGACATGCTTATCACACTGGGTTATGGGTTTAGGAGCCGTTTGGCAGTTGCTGAATGATTTGGTGCAGAATGATTTAGTGGTCAGAATAATTAAGAGGCTCTTATGATATAGTGTAAAATGAAATATAATTGTTCGATAATTATTTACGATGGAATTTGGGTGCTGAATGGTTAAGAGAGACCCATGATACAAAATCATTCAGAGAGTTTTAGAACCATTAAGAAACAGATTTTTTTTTGCGAAACAAGATTCATCTCTTAACGATTCAGAGGCTGCCTTTTAATGGAACTATTAATAGGTAAACAAACAACCTCTTACAAACGCAATGGCGAAATCCAAAAAAGAAACAGTACTTTGTGATTTCTTAAAACTTGTGGGATGATATTCGAAGTATACCAAAATTACAGGGACTAAAAATGTAATCAACTTTTTTGAATTTGAGACGGTATTTTCATTCTTTCACATCTCCCTCAGCGGAGAAGGGTCAGCCAAGAAGTCATACCAGCGACGACGACCTCCACACACGCAATTGAGAAAAAAATGCAAGATCCATCAAATCCCAACTCCAAGCCTCCAAATGCGGCAGCTTTTCCTTTCAGGCCGTCTCACCACCGCCGTGCACACTCCGAGGTCAACTTTCGGCTACCGGAAGACCTAGATCTGGTATCAGACTCGTTCGATGCGCCATCTGGAAGCTTCGAAGAGATTGGATCTGAGGACGATCTGTTTTCTACTTACATGGACATTGAGAAGCTCGGATCTACCTTGAATGACGGTGGTGGCGTTCTTGACAGCAATCGGATCAACAATGCTGTTCTCGGAGGTGGAGCTTCGGACGATAATTACGGCGGCGGCGGTGATGGAGAAAAGAGCAGCACGAGATCCCGACATCGACATAGTAATTCAGTGGATAGTTCGAGTTTATTTACGGAAAGTATTGAAGCGAAGAAGGCAATGGCTCCCGATAAGCTTGCTGAGTTGTGGACTGTTGATCCCAAGCGAGCTAAGAGGTACTTTTAGTATGGACATGCTAATTTCATTGCAGTCAGTAATTTGATTTACCAATTTAAGATATGGATGGAACGTTCAGCAATAAACAATGCACTGAAAACAAATTCGATATGAATCATCTGTCAGTTGCAAATCTAATGCCAAAATTCAATCTACTCTTGTTATCCAATCGATTCAATAGTTTTTGTTGTCTACAAACATTTACGACATCCAGATATAATAGTTAGGGATGGAAACTGAAATCCGGTCATTATAGGTTATTAGGAACGAAAGAAACTAGGGTCAAACACTTGCAGGAAAAATTAACCGACAGAAATTAAACATAGAACTTAAACAAAATACTGTTATGAAGCTTTATTTAACTTCAGGAGACATCTTTTATGGGTTCCACTAGCTAGACAAAGGGTTAGTTTCATCTCTATTACGGAGATCAAGTAAAGGGACATGTTTTTTGCCTGTTTCAGGCTCATCACTTGGTCAAGTGTTCCCCTGTGACACAAAAGTTATCATACTGGAGTTGTCTCAGTTGTGCAATTGCTAGAATTTTTACTATATCTCTACTTGGTAAATTCTCAGGAAGAATAAACACATTAGTTGTAGAGCATTTGTGATGGATAGATGTAATGTACCTAAATGGTTACAGACTTGTAATGATGGTCTTGGTCTTTCCCTGTTGCCCTGTCCCAAGCTTGCATGGTGAAAAGCTCTTCAGAAGCCCATAATGAGTTTATGACCGAGGCAAATTCGATATATTACAGATTTATCATCCTAATTGGCTGTTTGTTAGTGAACTCCAAGTTCAGCTACAAGGAATCTCTCTTTCTCTTTTCTTTTCATAAAAGGGACCAGGAATAATATTAATACTAGTTGGGGAAGCTTGGGATGCATGCAAGAAAGTTATACTATTTTTTACATCGAAGTCACAATATTTTACCAATACAGCAATTGATTTTCTTAAGCAAAAAAGTATTAGGGAAATTAGGTACTTGGTGAATAGAATAGAGAAAATGGTCGATGCCGTGGAGCATGGATGATGCCATAAATAGACAATCGGGGTGAACTATATACCTAGTTTTAAGACCTCGATGAAGAAAGAATGTATGGAAGAAGAAGAAGCTACTATGCTTGTTGCCTTGTTTTATTTAAAGGGTACTTTTTTGTCATTTTGGGTCAAAACAAACATTTTTGGTTGAAATAAAAGAAATTTGGATAACTAAATATTAATGAACAAGAGGGAACTGAAATTGTGGCCAAAACTATTTACTAGTACATCCTGTAAATAATTATTGCTCTGAGAGTTGTAGATCATCTTATGCTTTGTACAATACAGGATTTTGGCAAATCGACAGTCTGCTGCTCGTTCAAAGGAGAGGAAAGCACGTTATATAACCGAGCTCGAGAGAAAAGTCCAGACCCTACAAACAGAAGCAACAACCCTTTCTGCACAATTGGCTCTCTTCCAGGTGATTCATGAAATACTTCTGTGCTTTATATGAAATTCCTTTCTTCTTTTCTTTAATATCAGGGGATTCAAATCAGCGAAACGGATTTAGCTATTTAATTACATGATAGTTTTAGCTCTATGTTAGCACTTGGCAATGAATGTCAATTTTTAGCAAACATATTGCAGATGAACCAACTTCAACTGCATGTGTACTTCTATGTATAATTAATTGCATATTACATCCTGGTAAAACATAAGTTAATCTTCTTGCTGTAATGCATTAATTGGTAAACTGACTTTTGGTTTATACAGAGGGACACAACTGGCCTGTCTTCCGAAAACACGGAGCTTAAGCTCCGATTACAAGCTATGGAACAGCAAGCTCAATTACGTGACGGTATGTTTTGAAGAAAAACTAATAAACTTAAGTATTATTATTGTGTGTGGATGATGAAAAGCATATATGTTACAATACAGCTCTGAATGAGGCACTGAAGCAGGAAGTGGAAAGGCTGAGAATGGCAACAGGGGAAATATCAAGGTGTTCAGATGGTTACAACATGGGGATGGTGCACCATGTTCGGTATAACGAAGCAAACCTGTTCCGAAACCAGGAACAAACAGAGTACCATCAGCAGGATGCTCTTGGTCGTTTCCAAGGGCTCGATATCAGTAATAGTAATAGAGGTGGTTCGCATCTTGTGAAGTCTGAAAGCCTTTCCATGTCTGCCGGTGAAACCAGTGGTACCTTTTGATTTAATTTAATTGATTTTTTATTTATTTTTACATGACTAGTGTTTTAGTCTTTAACATGGTATTTAATGTCGTTCTTTTGTTGGGGGTGATGGTGGTTTTGTCGTCTCGTCTGGTCTTTCTCTTGTAACGTGCCTGGAATTTGGCTCATTGTCAACTGTATTTTCTTTATTGAACTCCTGTTCTTGTGTTAAATGTTTATATAAAAATTTGTGTTTCTTTTTTTACTTCAGCTTTTACATATATATATATATATAGGGTATATTTCTTTTACAATCTTGTGCATTTGTACAACCTTTGCAACCCAATTATGAAGATATCTTGCAATGCAGTAATATATATTTCGATTTCAATGTTTCATTTTATTTTATTTTGGTCTCTATCGATGTTATAATATGAATTTATGTGGTTTTGAACAAGCAATAACTTTTTTCTTTAATAAAATATAAATATGAAGATATCATAAAAGTTAAAAAAATATAAAAGTTTTTATTTTTTGTGTAATTTCTTTAATTTAAATTTCATGATGAAGTAATTTATTTTTGGTTTGATAATATATTTTTATAAAGATAATAACTAAGTATTTTGTTAGAACTTAATAATTATTTTAATTATATTTTAGATTTTATATTTAAAATAAGAATGTTATCATGTATTTAATTATAGGAAAAATCACACCAAAATGGAACCAACTTTCATCTAATTCCTATTTTGGRGAACCAATTTTCAAAATCGTCATTTAAGGGTCTCTATCAAACTTTTTGTTTATTTAAGGGTCTGGTTGAGCTGTTAATGCTGATATCATCCAGATTTTTTGCTAACTAAGATATTCAACGTCATATAAAATTTTAATTTTAAAACTAATATTCCACGTCATATTTAAAATTGCAAAATAATTATGGAAAAATAACTAAAATTCGTTTTTTTTTCTTTCAAAAATTAATGCAATAAAATCTATTTTTCATTTCAAATTTCGTTTTTTTTTTAAATTCAGATATCAAATTGAAGATTTTTTCAAAAAAAATCCAAATTACCACGATAAAAATTGTTTTTTACTAATGCAATAAAAAAATCAATTTAATAGAAAAAAATTAATTTATGCAATAAAAAATAAATATTAAATATCACATTCAAGATTTTTATATCCAACCAATCCGCATCAATATTAAAGTTTAAATCAAATTTGGCAAATCAAACCAAAATATATGTTTGTTCACAACGTTCAAATCATCAAGATTAGAATAAAGTCGATGACAAGACATTGTTACAAAAAAAAAGTTGAAAATCTTCAATCTTCGATTGCTTGAATCATCCTTATCAAAGTTAACCATCAACCACAAATTATGGAACTGATTGAACTTCATCAATAATTTGTACATTACCTATATCAACTTGCCATATGTAAACATATGCAAGTTAGTGCAAATATGTAAGTTATATGCAAACAAAATGTGATTATACATATTGAAAAAACTTCCCACAGCAGTAATTGGTATACTCGTCTCAAAACTAACTTGTGAAATCTGCAAAATAAACATACTTTTAGCTACAACATTTGATCATTCAAACACAATGTGAATCACAATTATTATACTTACTCCTATAATCGTATCCCTTGAACTCGTATCTCTTGAACCTCTTCCTCTTATATTGCTTCAAATAACTAAATCTTCTCTTCTATGTTGTTTTTTCTCGATCTACCAACTGGATTTTTTGACCGAATCGGTGCATCTTTCTTTTTATTTTTACAACTCCTATAATCATGTCCTGCCTCCTAACAATTTCTGCAAGTCAACTTTCTCCCCGAGTTGGCTACAACTTCATGGTCATATGCATTTCTTCTTGTGTGACTACTTTCTTCACTTGCATCTTCCCTTCTGGCTATTCCACGCATGCGTCTAGACTTTGGGGGCAAAAGTTTGCAAAATCTGTTATTGGCCAAAGTTTGATCACATTCAAAGGATTGATCATGTGATTATATGTATTACTGAACTTTAATTTTCAGAACAAAGGAAACACAAACTTAGCTGGATCTTGGTGAATGAAGTATATGGCTGCAACAACATACGGACAAGGAATTCCAGAAACTTGCCAACTTCTACAAGTATATGTTCTACGTTGAGTGTCGACAACAAAACCCCCTAGTCCTTGTCTTACTTCAAAAAGATTCCCTCCATTGGGAGCAACGCGCCAAAATCATAATGTAATATTTATGAAACAAATTATCTTATATGCATAGAGCATAATAATCATAAACATACTGCATTAGCTCCTTATTTTGCTCAACTTTCTTTTTTATATTTGGACAGATTTCATCATCCCAGTTGCATGCTTTGTTGTTCATCTTAAACATTCTTCCATCACAAGAGCGCTAATCTCCTCGAGCATTGTTATTATAGGTTTTCTCCTAGATGAGACAATCAAAGAGTTAAAACACTCGCTTGTTCCATTTTCTACAACATCACATGATGTGTCGATCTTGAAGGAAGCCTTTGACCATGTTGACGGTTGTCTTTCCATCAAATGTCCATAAGCATGGGGAGACAAACTTTTAATTTCTTGCATAATTCCTTCAAAATTCTTGTGGTGTCCTTGACTTGGATGCAACCCAAAACAAAGATCTGAATTGGATATCGGTGTATTTCTTCCTGAAATTGGCAGTATATGTGTCTAGCACATTGACGATGCTCAGTAAGTGGGAATACCTCTTTAACAGCTTCAACAAGTCCCTATATTAGCATAATGCAATTAACTAATTAGAAGATCACATTCATAATAGATTAGCAAGTGTGTGCAGTTAATTATTAGTATACTATTACCTTATGTTGATCTGACATCAATGTTATCCCTAACCCTTCGGTCCATCTAGTGTCCTCTACTAGAAAATTTAAAAACCACTTCCAATTGTCTTTATTTTCAACCTCCACCACTGCCCATGCAAGAGGATGTATTTGATTGTTACCATCTTTCCTATCGCACTTAACAACTCTCCCTTGCATACGGTTTTTAGAAAACATCCATCCAAGCCAATGAATCCCTTACACCCTTACAACCAACATTCTTTAATACCCTTAAAACATACATAAAATCTTTGAAAATAATTTCTATTATTTGGTCCTACCTCGACACTAATTTTAACCGTTGATCCTGGATTACACCTTCTAATCTTCTCACCATAGTCCCATAACTTTCCGTAATGCTCGATTAGAGCCGTTCCTACTTCCCCCAATGCCTTGGCCTTAGCCCTTTGGCATTGACTTAACTGAACAATGCACTTGTATTTTTTTTAGAATGGATTCCTTCAAATCAACTAACTTGATCGATGGGTTTTGTTTAATCTTCCTCCCATATTGTTCAGCAATCCAATTGGAATTTACAAGTGAACCTAACATGTAATTTCTCCCACACTTGTGCTCATCATTCTAGAAAAAATCGATGAAGCAAGAAACGTGTATTAACCAGAATATCTCAATATTTTTTTAACGCAATCCCGTTAATTCTGGGTAATTATTATAAAAAATTTAAAAAAAATCAATAATTATGTTATATTTAAAATTTCAGGTTTTTTCTTTTTTGGGGGGGGGGGGGGGGGGGGTTTCTCTCATGAATCTTCCTCTATATTAATAATGTGTTAATATTTGGGAAAAGTTTAAAATAACACAAAAAACTTTTATATTTTGAATGATTTAGTTTCTAAACTATTTTTTTGAATGAAAAAATCATTAAACTTTCTCATTTTGAAAGATTAAGTCCTGGACTATTTTTTTGAATGAAAAACTATAAAACTTTCTCTCTTTGAATGAAAAAATTATTAAACTTCATTTTGATTGATGAAGTCATTGAACATTTTTTTTTTTGTTAAATAAATCATTGCACTTTTAAAAATTAGTTACTTATTTCATTTTAACCCAAAAAAAGTTACATCAACTTACGAATAAAAGTTCTATACTTTATTTACTTTTTAGAGTAAACTACAATTTTGGTCCCTGTTGTTTACACCAATTTTTAAAAGTGGTCCCTAGACTTCAATAACTATAATTACTGTCCATATTGTTTACATTTTGCTTTGAAAATAGTCTCTGGTAAATAACTCCACTAGATTAATCCGTTAGGTGGGGGTTATAAGTGTCTTTTTAACCCTTTTTTTTGTCTTTATTTGAGGAACCAAATTTGTAGTTTCCCTTTTTTTCTATTTATATATAACAATACATATAAATAGTATATATATATAATCACACATACACATATATTTATATTTACATTTTATTTTAAGACCATTTTATTAATCATATTATTACGATCATTTCAGTCTAAAAGTTCGGATAAGTTCTTCAGTTCTTTTTTCTTTCAATGTTCTTCGCTAATCTCATCCTTACATTCAGGGGAAAACAAAAGATGAATCTTGAAAAAAGGAACCGATGAACCACAAAAAAAAACACCAAAAAAATAGTTCATGAACTTAATCATTCAAAATTAAAAAAGTTTAACGGTTTTTCTTTCAAAAATAGTTTGGGGGACTAAACAATTCAAAATGAGAAAGTTTGTTCGGTCTTTTTTGGGCTTTTCCCTAAAAATTTATATAAACGTTTTTGGGTGTTCTAACAAGTTCTATGATGTTTTTAAAATAAATGTGTCGTACTAATTATTTTATACGATATTATTTGAAAAAGTGTCATATGAACACAAATGCCCTATAAATAGATGAGTTTATAGGATGATTCTAAAAAATGTTCTATAAAAAAGCTAATGAAACTTTATTTAAAAAACATTTTAAGAACTTGTTGAAACGTCCAAAGGCATCCTAGATAGAATAAGAATTGATTTTTTGCTTTTTACCGACGGTTTCTATATTTCATCGTTCATATTTCATACTACTTAGGGACCGTTTATTAAACGCTTACTTGGTAAGCGTTTACCAAATAAATTTCTTTATCGGATGAATATGACAAAGACTAAGAATCTTACCGGGTAAGAGCGATGAGAATGATGGAGAGTCTTATCCGGTAAGTGAAGATTACGACTTTTACCCAGGAAAACGTTTATTCAGTAAATTATTGCATTCAATACGTTTTGATCTACTATAATCTTACTTATCAAAATAAATTATAGTGTTGATTTCTATAAGTATGCACTTACCGGATAAACATTTGAGTAAACAGTCCCTTACTTTTTTCTTTTTTCTTTTTTCCGTCGTTATTTTTACTTTTTTTATACAATTAGACACACTATAAAAAGATATCGTCAATTGATTTGATTTTAATTTGGTTTATATTTTCGGGTCGGGTTGACCAACATCGAATGAATAACGAAAAAACAGAGTACCCATCCCACTGTTCCTTACCATCAGGCAGCTGAGTTTGTGACACCAAATGCCCCCAATTTCAGCGTCAATCACTTCTTTAATTACATCCACACTTCTAAGTTCTCTCTCTAATGGATCCTTAAACCCTAGATTTATCTTCAGATATACACCGCCGGAATCTCGGATCAGCATTTTTGTTGATTTCCGAACAGTTGGCAAAAGATCATTTTCGGTCATCCAAGGAAACGGTGGACTCAGAGCTTCATCAAATATGTCTCGCGATGGAGGTGACGCTGGGAAACGCGTGGCTCACTTCAATCTGTCTCCGACGAGTGCGCTCAAGATTCAGAAAGGAGATATTACTCGTTGGTTCATCGATGGCTCCTCCGACGCAATAGTACGTGTTTATCACTGTGTTGATTGCTTCATCTATTTGAATATAAAATCGGTAATACTGTTTGTGATGGTTGGTAGGAACGCTCGAGGCTATCTGATCATCGGTACCTTTAGATTTCTCATAGATATATTATATTTTGCAATTATGAAAAGTGATGCCTTCTATAAATTAAATTAAAGCCCCAAGTTTTGCTATGAATAATTGATTATTCCGCTCTTCGTCGTGATTTGAAATTTAGTTACTGTCAAGGCCATGGCAACAGTGCTAAATCAGTTGAAGCACCATTATCTTAATAACCCTTGCCAATCATGCTTCCTGTTGAATCATTTTTATAACTAGAACATAACTGGTTTTTCTCAGGTCATGACTGGATGCCTATTACTGTTTTCTCTAAACAGAGACGGAAATATCAGTACTATTCTGGCCAGTGTATGCTTGTATTTATTGAGTATGTCTCTGATACGAAAGCAATTGAAGCCAAAAATTTATTAAGAACACTCAAATGGCCTTTAAATAGAAGATACATGACAGATAGAAAAATAGCTACTGCTCCTAAGAGAACTGGATAAAAGGAGACTGAACCAAAAACAACTAATATCCCTAAACAAATGGGATTTTATTCCAAATCCTAGCTGACCAAGTCCAACAGTATTTTGTTGTCATTATAGAAGTCTAAGATCATAAACAACCAAGAATGTTGATAATATGGAACGGTTTCTGAAATCAGTCAACTGAGTTTGCACGGTTTAGTGTTGTTTCTTATCAATCGATGTTAGACAACAAGAGATACAGATAAATTGTATGGTCAAGATGATAAATTGAAATTTGAAAATTGATACATTTTTGTAGAAGCTATAGATAATCAGATAAACCTGTATAACAAATAGAAATGCAACACCAATGGTTTTTAGTTGAAATGTAACCAAGTAAGTGCTTTGAACTTTAAACATTGTTTTGATTTTGTATACCTTTTGTGTCTACCTTTATTTAATTATGTGACCTGTTTGCTATTCACTAGTCTTAGATTTTCTTTTTGTAATTGTAGTTATTTAACCTATTCCCCTTACAGCTGTCCGTGATGCACCTTTTTGTTTATTGTACCCATTGTTTGTTGGCACACACCCTTGCCTATATTTTTCTCGCTTGTTTCTTTTAAAAATTTGTTTTGTAAGCCGGGGGTCTTTGCAAAAACAACCTCTCATACCCCTTGGAGTAGTGGCAAGGTCTGCATACATCCTACCCCAAACCCTATGTCTGCATGGATTCGCTGGGTCCATTGGATTTGGTTTGGCTTGGCTTGGTTTGGTTTGGTTTGGTTTATATGCAAAATGCAAATAAGAGTCAACACTCCTAGTAATCCATTTAGGGTGTCCTTTCTGTGAATAATATGGATTCAAGTGCGTCCTCTCATTCATCTCAATATTTTGCACAGGTTAATCCAGCAAATCAGCTCATGCTTGGAGGTGGTGGTGCTGATGGAGGTAACTCTCTTCCAATACAATCATAATTGTTTCTTTTCTCTAATATTGTTAACAAACATGTTGTAATTGTGATAGCTATACACCAAGCTGCGGGCCCAGAACTGCGAACAGCATGTTATCATGTTCCTGAAGTTCGCCCCGGAGTGCGTTGCCCAACCGGAGAAGCAAGAATTACCCCGTATGTTCTCAATATTTAATTTCCATCATTGATATTTGCAGCGTGTTTCATTTGGAATTTATGATTGAAGAATTCATGCAGAGGGTTTAAATTGCCTGCATCTCATGTAATCCATACTGTTGGGCCCATTTATGATGCTAATAGCAATGTTGCGGCCTTCTTGAGTAACGCTTACAGGTACCTTTTTCGTTGGTGGCATTTGTCTGTTTCTGTGGGTGGTGATGCCTCAGAGGTCATTGGTTTTAATCCCCTTTTCCCATTCCCTATTAAAAGAATTTAGCAGCCTTATGATAGAAGCTCATCTTAGCCTATAATTCTATCCAAATGTGATTGTTTTCTCCTGTCTCTATTTCAGGAACAGTCTGCGTGTTGCAAGAGAAAACAATATTCAATATGTCGCATTTCCTGCCATATCCTGTGGTATCTTTGGGTGAGTCGTTTAGGTTGTACAAGTATCATAACGTCCAGTAAATCTCACCTCAATGGTATGTATTCATAAACTTCTATTGCTTGCACAATCATCCATGAGATCCTGGAAGCCAAGTGGTGAAACCTGTTGACCCGGACTGTCTCCTTAGATCTCAGCTTACTGATACAAAAATAGATGGTTGGTTACTGAAGTAAAATAACCCACAACACGGCCAACAAACAATATATGTCTACATACGTATAGCTTGATCTTTTTATGGATAACAGTTTTGCTAGCTCCAAAATTTGACGAGTGTTTAACTACCATCTCAGATATCCTTTTGAGGAAGCTGCAACTGTGGCCATATCTACAATCAAGGAGCATTGCAATGATATTAAAGAGGTATTCCGTATTTATGAGTAGCCTTTCATTGTGATGCCGATTCCTCCTTATCTCAGACTAGAATGGTTTCAGTTTAGATTGCCACATACCTTGTTAGTTCAACAAAGTTCCAACTTAAGCTTCATGAGGTTGGGCCAATTGGGGTGATAGGGGGTGGGGAATGGAAACGGAAATCATTAACGGTGTCTGGTTTGATGTAACTGAATGAATCATTAGCAGATGGCGGGTGATAAAATCATTCCCATTTCTATTCCCCAACGTTCTCATTCCGGTTCCCATTTCCATCCTTGAAACAACAAACGGCCTCATTTTCTGTTTGTTAGTAGTTGATAAAGTTTAGGATTACCAAGGATTTATGGGGGATCCAATTTAAAAAACTTTTCGGGCTGACCCAGTTATAGCGTAAACGGATCTGGATATATTATTCAGTTAACGATCAACACTTACCAGTGAACATGGTTATGCTATTTGCAGGCTCACTTCGTGCTTTTCTCGGATGATATCTACAATGTTTGGTTGAAAAAGGCTGAAGAATTACTCCAGAACTAGCATTTGCTTTGAGAAATGCGATATCAACCTTTTAGTTATCTACTACTTATGGAAGCACACAATATTACAGGAGTAAAGACTAAAGAGATTGTATTTCCAATTGGCATCATGGAGTTGCCTATTCGTATGTTTCGTTTACAGTTTCCATTTCCTGCTTTACGAACCCAAACATTTCCTGCTTTTTTAGGGCCGTTTACCAAACATTTGGCATGGATTCCAAGGGGCGTTTTTGCGGAATGGTTTTGGGAGATTTATAGATTTCGTGTACGGATTTGAAATCTTTGTTGTGTTTAGGTTTTAGAATTTGTAATTGAATTGAATTTCGTTCTTTATAAATAAGACGAACTATAAATAATTATAAAAATGATAAAATTACACTTTTATTATTAGTTGGTTATTACAAAACAAATGTTTTTTAACATGTTTTAAAACATTATGCATATTACATACAAATTCAACTTCAAACGAAACATGAGATTGGAATAAATTCAATCCAATCCCACAAAACAAATCGGACCTAAGGTTACGTTTGGTATATGAGACTGGACGGAACAAAACTTACTATCCTACGTTTGGCGTGACATGGATAAGACAAGAACTCAATGTCCCACGTTTGGTGCAACATAGGTTATGGACAAGAATTGGACAAGGTGAGACAAAAAATGTTTTTTCTTGTTCGACCAAAAAATAGGTGAAACAAGATGGAACAAAACTAAAATATTATTAATTAACTTCGTTTAATATATAACCTTAATATGATATATATTTTAGTAGTCACCACCACTAGTTGCAGCGGCCGCCGCCATCGGTTGTCGGCCACCTCCACCATCTCCACAATCATCGTCGGCCATCAACCACCACTTTAAATTAATATTACTTAAAGTTGGGCCTCTTTAAATTAATATTACTTTTATATGGGTTTTATATCTAGAAAAAATGCGCAAAATAGCAACCTACTTTTATAAATTTTCTTATTATAGCATTGTACTTTCAGTTTTTCTTATTGCAATAATGTACTTTCAAAATATTTTTTATTAAGACATCGTACTTTCAAAAAATTGCCCGTTATAGCATTGAGTAACCTTTTAAATTAAATTTACCCATTATTCCGGGTTTCTTTGCCACCTCGACATGACATTTCTAATTATAGCATTGTATTTTCAAAATTACTTTATTATAATATCACCAATTTCTATTACAACATTGTACTTTTACTTTTAATACTTTTATCATTTAAACATTGTAAATTTAATCAAATATGTTTACTAAAATTTAAAATATCAAAAATTAAACATGTTTATAAAAGATCATTATTTCATTAATAAAAATATTCATAAAAAACCATTTGTTGATCATAAATTTATGGCTTACTTTGTAACGCCAAAAACTAAACAAGTGGAACATCTTTTCAAAAAAAAAAAAACTTCTCATTCACATTCATTTAATCAAGTGAAACCGTCTTGTTATAACTACTACCTTCTCCATCTTTCTCAACAGTATTTCTCCGTAGGTTGTTCAAAGTTATCTTTTCACTTGGCCTCCTTTTTTTCTGGATGAGCTTTGGTCGTGATTCCACTTGAGATGGTTCTTGTTCAAATTAGTGAAGAAATTAGTATGAAACTTGAAGATCTTTCATTACCTTTTTAACAACACTCCCTTGTGAACCCGTTCTGCCTCGTGTATTCAATGCAATAACGGGTAAATTTTTGAAAGTATAATATCATAATAAAAAGTATTTTGAAAGTACGATGTCATAATAAAAAATATTTTGAAAGTATATTGTTATAATAATAATAAACTGAAAGTACGATGCTGTATAATAATTTTTTTTTGTAAAAGTAGGTTGCTATTTTCACCCATTTTCCATGTGTAACAGGTTATCCTATATGCCTTATTTTAAGTTTGACACGTTTTCCACCCATTTTCCATGTGTAACAGGTTATCCTATATGCCTTATTTTAAGTTTGACACGTCAACAAAGAAAAACTTGTTCAAAAGGTAACAGGTTACCCAATGTTATAACGGGTTAACTTTTTAAAGTACGATGCCCTAATAAAAAAATATTTTGAATGTATATTCTTGTAATAAGAAAAACTGAAAATACAATGTTATAATAAATAAATTTGTAAAAGTAGGTTGTTATTTCGCACATTTTGTCCACATATCTATAATAATCTATTTGGAGCATGTGTGTGTGTGTGCGCGCATGCGGGACATTTAGGTGCCGTTTACTAAACGTTTATCTGGGTAAGCGCTTACCAAGTCACTTTACTTTATCAGATGAATATGACAAGGGCTAATAATCTTACCCGGTAAGAGCGAAGGCAAAAATCGAGAGTCTTACCCGGTAAGTGAGAACGATGACTCTTACTATGGTTAGCGCTTACCGAGATAAATTGTTGCATACGATGAGCCGATGAGCTTTATTGAATAAAATCTTTCCCGGTAAGTAAGCGATAATGTTGAATTTTACTGTCAAGTGCTTAACGGGTAGGTGTTTAGGTAAACGGCCCCATAGTTTAACTAAAAAGTCCAACGAAAAAGATGTTATTTTAACTAAATAATTAAACTTATTATTTCTGTTATTAATTAATCGCATTGTTTCCTAATCTAATTCATATATTAAATTCAAAATTTTATTCATTTAATATGTTAATTTATTTTAAGAAATTAATGTTATTACTAATTGAGAGTTGTTAGATTATCTTATTTATTCAACATATTAATTTAAATTATTATTTAATTAATATATTGAATTATTTCAAATTATTCTTTGAGTAATGCTTATTAAGTTGCTCATTTTTACATATAGGTCGTTTACCCAAATGCTTACTAGGTAAGTACTTATCGATAAGATTCAACATTATAATTTATTTTGATACGTAAGATTTTAGTAGATCAAAACATATCGAATGCAACAAGTTACTGGGTAAATGCTTACTTGGGTAAGAGTCATCATCCTTACCGATTAAGACTCTATTATTTTCATTGATCTTACCCGGTAAGATTCTTGGCCCTTCTCATGTTCATCCGATAATAAAATTTATCTTGTAAGCACTTACCAAGTAAGTGTTTAGTAAACTGCCTGTAGTTATTGAGTTATTTATTTACGTAAGAGATGAATTAGTAATCATGCTTAAGGTGTCGTCTTTTTATAAATTATGAGACGCCTTTAAGTTGGACCAGGTCATTTCTATATGTTTATTTTTAAACCGATGTAAGGAATGTTAGTAAGTATAGTTAACCGAGGTTGACCGTAATTGATCGTAGGTTGACTTTTGGAGAAATTAGTTATTAATGGACTATTTGACTTTATAATTGTAGGTTACTAGTCAACGATTTTCACTAAGCAACCTATATCATCAGGTGAGTCTTCACGAGACTTACAATGAGATGAATGTCTACGTACAAATTTGTTTTCAAGCATTATATGATTTTTTATGGTGATGTGTACATATGCATGATGTTCCAGTTTACATAGACAATACAATATATATTACATAATGTGTGTTATTTTATGATCAGTTGCATGCTATGTTTTTATTTTGTTTTCAAATAACTCTAGCATGTTATTTCATATGAAAATTTTATGATCAGTTTTCACGGGTTGACATTTGACTAGTAAGTCATATGACAAGTGGCATCACCCGTTAACGAATGTCCAAACAGGTGCAGACAACCCAGGGAATGCTAATGACTAAATGACCCATATCGGACAGAAAGTTTATAAGATCTTTTTTCTTCAGTGTTACATGTGTTTCAGGAAATGCATATGTTTGGTACAGAGTTTACTAGTTGATATGTATGCTATGAAATGATTTATTCATGCTAACCATGAACTTACTAAGTTTTATAAGCTGACTATAGTATGCATCTTAGAGGCACGTAGTTCGAGGTTGGATAAGAACAAAAGACATGCTCACAAAATTTTCTATCATTACTTTTATTTCAGTCTTTTGTTTAGACTTATATGTACGGATTAGTTGTGTAAAAATGTTTATAAATTAAATTATTCACTTTATTTGTGTTAATATAACTATTATATGATATATAAAATCATCAAATAACTTTTTGGGACAACTTGTCTAGTTTTGTCATGTCCAGCCCTAGTCATATCAAACACGAGACAAACACTTGTTTTGTCCAATCATGTCCCGTTTAGTACTACTCTCTTATTTTGTTCAGTCTTGTCCAGTCCTATCCAATCATATGTACGTACCAAATTGATAAATTGTTTAAAAAATTCAATCTATGGAGGATGAGATTTGAAGTAGTTGCAAAACTTTAGGGTGTAATAAAGAGAATACTCTCATACTTTAAGGACTTCTTTGTAATTAACAAATTTTCCCTACCAAAAAAGAACAGAAATCGTTATGCCGTCTCTTCCCAAACTGATTTGCAGAACAAATGGCTCTACGAACGTTGGCGACCCGGAAAACCCTAGGTGAGCTATGCAAGTTTCAGCAACAGATTCGTGGAGTGCAGACATTTACGCTTCCGGATCTTTCATACGATTATGGCGCTCTGGAGCCGGCGATTAGCGGAGAGATCATGCAGCTCCATCACCAGAAACATCACCAGACTTACATAACCAACTACAATAAGGCTATCGAGCAGCTTGATGACGCTATGTCCAAGGGAGATGCTTCAACTGCTGTCAAATTGCAGAGTGCCATTAACTTCAATGGCGGAGGTGAAATTCTATCGTTTTCTCTCTGAATTTATATTGTTATCCGTACAGATACGTGTTTTTGCTTTCAGTAATTTTAGGTGAATACATATTAGAAGCCTTTTGTATCTTAAATTTCACAAGGAATTGCTGTTTTCGTTCCCAAAGGAAAAAGGGTCACGTTTGATTTTCTAGACTGTAGCTGATTGATTTTTGATGTCCAGGAATTGATGCCCACGTCCGGAAAAAGAGCAGACTTTGATTTTGGATGTCAAAAACTTTACCTTTCAACTTCAAAGTTAATATGGGATTGGAAGTATTTTGAGAGAAACTTGTTGATTATTTCAAATATTCGAAAATGATGTTAAATTTGCAAATACCTTCCTATCAAATTTTCATTCCAGAAGTACTAGGTTGAAGAAAGAGGTGCTAGGGTGAAGGGAAAGAACGAATTGTAGCTAATTGTTAGGTAGGTGGCGAGTAGAAATATATATACTTTCTTAAGGGAAAACTTATGACTACTGTAAACTATATATGGAATACCACAAATAAGACAAGTTTGATGCTAGAAGGAAAATCATATTCATATTGATTTGGAGTTGGAATTGAAGAAGTACTAGATTTTGCTTCTTAAAGTTCCAGACATGGACCCTGATTTGGGATGAAAGGAATAAATTCAACCCCAAATCAAGTGGTTTGAATTATTTGCATGACAACAGAGGTTCATCTCCATTGAACTCTTTACTCGCCCTCTAGTAAGCAGAGAGCTTCAGGTTGATTTTTATGATCAGAATTCACAAGTCATAAATAATGATGTTTATGTTGATAATATATCTATATATTATTGTTTTTTTATCAGGGAAATAAGTTAGATGGGCCTATGAGGAATATCATTGCAAAGGCTATAGTGCTGAAAGGGTAAATTAATGGCATCAATTATTGATCAAAGAGGTGTCAAAATGAAGTACATGCTAGTGTAAGTATTGCTATGGTTTCGGGGGTGGAAGGATTTGTATTTCTAAGCACAATCTAGAGGAAATTATAGACCTAAAAACTATTCTGGGTATGTAAAGTGGAAATTCCATGCAGCATTCTTTAACTTTCAGATTTAGCAAGTAGTTCTGGCTTTGGGTGCGCTTTCATTATGGGCTATGCTGTGGTGTCTGTTTGGATATAAGAAACTATATGGATGCATCTGCAAATTATGCTCATGAATAGATGTCGATGTGCAATTGAGGTTTAGTAGGCGCCCATAGCATGCTATTACTCAGAAGGAAGTCTGTTTGATGGCTGCAGTACCATCCTTATATTGCAATGCTTAAATAAGCTGGCAGTATGGTGTTAACCATTTGCATTGTATAGGATCGTATTTTTCTCATTGTTGCTTTCCTCAAGTCCTATGGGGCTATGATTGTTTGGCATTCAGAATCATTGCTCTTAGTTGGCCATCTGTAAACATTGAATACTGTTTTCTTATGCATGAATTTATTGTGTACAGCTGTTTACTACACCTTTGTTTTAAATATTATCGCCATATGCTCATCATTCCTGTGTAGGGACTGTTATTTTGTTCTTGCATTTGATCTCTACTTTATGTGTGTATTTATTTGTAAGTTCTATCATTTCAGTTCTGTTTCTTGGTTGTCTTAAATTCTGACTATTGATCCGAGCAGGTCATGTGAATCACTCAATTTTCTGGAAGAATCTCACTCCTGTCAAGGTAAGTTTGTTTCCGTTATTTTACTGATAATTCTGAGCATTATAACTTGATCAAAACTGAAAGTCTGAAACCTTATTGCAGGAAGGGGGTGGTGAACCACCACATGGTTCTTTGGGCTCAGCTATCAACGAGAGCTTTAGTTCTTTGGAAAAGTTGATTGCTAAGATGAATGCAGAGGGTGCTGCAGTGCAGGGTTCTGGATGGGTGGTATGTTCGTCTGCCCCCCGCAGTATTGGCATATAGTCTTTGGTTTTGTGTAGGAACTTTTTCCTTTATTTAGAAGTACAATATATTGGCAGTGGCTTGCAGTCAACAAAGAATTGAAAAGGCTTGTGGTTGAAACTACAGCAAACCAGGTATGCTACACTAATTTTATGGTCATCAAGTAAATACATCATCTTATCTCCAGACTTAGACATTGCCTTCAGCAATTACTGGCTCTGGTCTACAAGCCGCAGGTTTTCGTGGAAACATCCTCTCTACCCTTTGAGGTAGCAAGATCTGCGTGAAATTTAGCCCCAGACACTGTCTTTGTGTGGGATATACTGGTTTGGTTTAGTTTCTTGATGATAATTTGCAGCGTCAAATATGTGGTATTGAGTTCTTGTGTTATGTATTTAAAAAGCCTACTTTGTTCAGTTCAATTCTGGTCTGCACTTTTTACAGTTCACTTTTTGTTGTTCCTTCATATGCATTGTGAGAGATTGAGCACCACACCTGATTTATTTTTCCTACTATCTTTTTGTTCTAGATTACAAGTGATTCAAACAAATATTCTTCCTCATTAATCTTCATAAAGCAAAGTGTTGAATGTATTTTATATTGCAGGACCCACTGATTACAAAAGGTCCAAGTTTGGTCCCTCTAGTTGGCATAGATGTTTGGGAGCATGCCTATTACTTACAGGTGATGAAACAAATTTCATGGGTTTTTTCATCTCTAGAGTACTGAGTCTAACGGATGCTTGGTTGTTGGTAGTAAGAGATGGGGAATGGGAATGGGAATGGAAATGGAAATCATTTGTGATGTCGGTGGAATGAGTCATTATCAGATACCGGGTAATGAAGCATTTCTCAACTCATTCCCATTTCCATTCCCCCCACATTCTGATTCTTATTTTCATACCCTGAGATGAAGTAATCTAAAACAGGTATTAAAGTGTAGATATGTAGAAATTGTTGTAGAATACTAGTGTCACTTGAATTGAAATGATTTAAGTAGTAATAGTTGGTTTTGTGTACAATTTGCAGTACAAAAATGTGAGGCCAGATTACTTGAAGAACATCTGGAAGGTGATAAACTGGAAATATGCCAGCCAAGTATATGAGAAAGAATGCCTCTAAAAGAGTTGCAGTTTCTGTTTAAGAAGAGAATCAATAATAACATCTTGTTATTGTGGCTTATGCTTGTATTATGCTGGAGTCTTCCAACAATAATAATAGTAGTTGCATATATATACCACCCAACTAGTTGTATACAATTCTAGTACTGTTTTTAATGCTTCAGATTACATATCACAATATCTTACATTCTTCCCCTCAAAAAAATTGGATCAAAAAAATTCGATTGAAAGGTTCATATGTGAATCATTAAAAAAAGTTTCAAACAAATTAATCTGAAAGTTACAAACACTGTGAAGGTTACCTTCACAACATTTTGCTGTGAAGTTTCAAGTGTAAAAAGCTGGTCTCACGAAAACAGGTTGGTCTCACGTGTTCCCAAGTCTATATATATATATATAAGGAGACCTTATGAGAACCCATGAAATTATGATAACCTTCAGAAGTTTTATATCATGTAATGTTTCATATGATATTTTCTTTTATCTAATACTAGAATTTAGTATATTGATTAATATATATATTTGTTTGTGTTTGTTGTACATGTACACGGTTTCATAATATAAATGAAGAGTTAAATTTTCTCATTTTAGATTATCAATTTTATAAATTGTTTTTGAATAAGTAAATCACTGAAATTTTAGAAATTGATTACTTACATTCTTCCAACCCAAAAAACCTACCTGTAATAGGCTAGAAAAGTTTTATAGTAAACAAAATCTTAAAACAATCGTAAACTCTACGTCATTCAAATCCTTTGCACCTAACTCCCCATCGTCGTAAACTCTCCATAAGACAATCACTGCCCATTGTTGTCGTTGCTCCCAACCATTGATCTCTCCTTGTTTGATCTATTTTTTTTGTTTTTCAATTATCCCTCTCTTTTAACAATTTAGTGGAGTACATATATACAAATAAAAAGAGAGAAAGAGAGAGTCGAAAAACAAATAAAAAGATCAAAAAGAGGGAGATTTGATGGCAGAGGCCAACGATGGCGATGGGTGATAGAGCCTGAATGACGATGGGTTGGAAAGTTGGAGCGATAGCATAGGGTTTAGGAACAATTTACGAAAAAAGTTAATTTCTTTAACTTTAAGAAATTCATAGTTGGTTATATGGAACATTTTTTTGAGTTAAATGAATATAGGTAACAAATTCATTTCTTTATTTAGAGTATTTTCAATAGCTATGTTATATTTTTCTAAAATACTAATTTTCATAATTTTAACATAGCTGTTGTAGATGTTTCCGGTCATTCAAAATAGAAAAAGTTCTTTTTAGCGTTTTCCTTTTATTTAAACCATTATTTATAATTTATGTCAAATAATTTAATCAAAATTAATACAATTATCATAAAGTTAATTGGTTTTGTAATATAACCCCCGGCCCATGTTTCGTCTCTGCAGATATAACAGCATCAGACTAAAAAAAATTTCCATCTTGTAACTGCGTAAATAAATATCACACACTTTATTACACACACTCCCTCCATCATCTCTCTCTCCCCTCAAGATCTACGATGGCGGATCCATCTTTAATTTTCTCCTTATTCAAATTTTTTAGTCCACAGTATAAGAAATGAAGGTAGATAGAGCCAACAATATTTTAGAAAAAAGCCATCCGTTACCGCGTTTTACGAGCCAATTTAAAGCAACGTCAAAACTTTCTCTGTGCATTAATGGCGGGAAAACGCCCATTCTGTGTGCTATGTTGAAGTACGATTCATATATACCAACAGTAATTGTCAATCTCTCCTCGATCTTAAATATTTATCCAACACTTTTTTGATCCGATCAATCTGGTAAGTGGTAACCGTTGATACTCTTCACTAGAAAACAAGCAAACTACTTACGTGAATGTTATAATAAGAAATGTCATTGCTCAATCTATCATAAAATACAATCTTGTATCAACTGTATCGTTTTTAATTAAAAACAATTGTTACATAAAAATACAAAGAATATTGCTTCTTTTTAAGGTTTGTTCTAATTTATTATTGCCAACAATTGAAATTAAATGTTTATGAAAAATATATAATATATTATAATGAATAATCATCTATTAATATTATTCAGATTTTGAAATTATATATTTAGGAGATAGAAATTATATTTTATTAGATTTATTGAAGTTTTTTTTTTACAGGTTTTGATTTTTGATTATTTATTTTGTATAATGTGATGAAGAGATGCTTTAATACCCATAAATGTTGTCGAGAAAATGATCTCTAGTAAAGGGTTTTAACAACACAACTAACGTAGCAAACTAGGAATAGGGACTTGTTGGTGTGAAACCGAGTTGGATAGGTTGAGGGTGGGACGAAAGAGGGTTAAAGAGCTGGGTAGATACATCATCCGATCCCAACTTTAGGTATATAATTATACTGTTTTCTTATCATTTCTATGTTACGTGATACTTGTTTTTGGTTTTTTTTGCTGACTATATGTTATATTTCTTTATGTCTAACTATTTACGATTACACTTGTTTTTTTTGCAAGCCACGAGTTTCTATAAAACTAATCCTTACATCTTTAAAATATGTTAAAAACTTCCATTATTTTTATATCACATCAATACTTAAAACTTAAGAAATACTTGCGTATATTATTTTACAATAAAATATCTGGAATATTAGTATTGATTTTGGAACTAAAAAGTAGGAATTTGATTGCAACTAGTTCACGATCTCAAAGATTTAAAAAAATATATGATTTTATTGACACAATCGAACAAAATAATTAAATTTGATGTAATCAGTTTACAATAAATTTTGGGGTGTTTGGGATTGCTTATAAAAATAATTTATTGATTTATTCCGATATAGTACCGGTAATAAGCATTTTTGAGTGTTTTGATAAACAAATTATACCGACGCCAGACCGGCAATAAGGAATTTTTGAATAAGTTAAACTTTTCTGACTTATAATAAGATGTTGTTTGTTTACCTCTTAATAGTTTCATTAAGAGGTAGCGTCTAAATCGTTAATAGGTAAATCTTGTGTGGCAAAAAAAATATGTCTTTTAATGGTTTTAAAACCCTCTGAATGATTTTATATCATGGGTCTCCTTTAATTAACCATTCAGCGCTCTAATTTCATTATAAATAATTATATTTCATTTTGTATTATACCAAATCATTCAACAACTACCAAACAACCGCTAGGTTGGTAAATGCTTTTTTAAGTTGTTTAAAATAAGCGATTCCAAACACCCTTATCAACTCATATGTGGAGCATTTACCATATTTGAATGTTGGTGTTGGAAGGGCCTTTTTCAACCATTGGAAGGTGTAGTTTCATCGTATCAAGATCTGGTTTAGGTTTCGGAGAATATCTCTTTGCCTAATCTTAGACAGTATCCATTATTTGGTTGCTTTCTGAGATTGGTGGAATTTTAATATCACCAACCCACGTGTACACGTACTCTGTGTGTGTTTTCTACGTGTGTGCGAGAGAGAGGGGATAATTTTTCCCCTTGAAATTTGCATTGATGTGTGGGCCTCAATTTGGAGCGGCGATAATGCAATTACTGTTGAGTCATGTGATTGTGGTTTTGCTTCTTTCTTCGTGCCGTCTTCCAACATTCTCTGGTTTTCTTTCTTATTACTTGGCGTGAAATGAAGTTTTATTAATCAAAATCTTGAATCCCTACTACCCACTTGTGTCGAATCTTGATGCTGATTATGGTGATGACAATATAGGTGAGTGAGGTAAGGGTTTCATTTCCACTTATAATGCTGGTTCTCCTCCAAGATCCTTCCATTGTTGGAATCCTTTTAAGGTAGCTGAATGGATCAGACCCTTTTCTGGTAAAGTTTGAACCCTCAGCCTTGGATGAGAACCACCATCATCACCTAAAAATAACAACATGGACATGGTGTCTGGAATTTCTTTGAGTTTTTCACTTTTTGGTTCATGGGTGTTTGAAATTTTGGTTCATCAAGCACTTTTCATCTTTCATGAGACCAAGATAGGGGTATATTTGTCAAAAAGCGAGTGAGTCCCTCTTGCTTGCTCAGTTGAAGTGAAAATCTTGGTTCTATCTCTTGATGTTTCTTTCATTAGTCTGAGATTCTTGATTGTCTTAAAGAGAATTGCTAATTTACGTATGTTTTGTTGCAGCTGGGATCTCCGTTTAGCTCTGTTCATCTTCAGCAATCCTGAGTGAATCTTGATCTATGAGAATCATGGATCTTGCCTACGAAAAATGTTGCGGAAGTTCTAAGGTCTGCCTGCTTATTTTGGTCTGATTCATCTTTCGAACGACGTTTGAGCTGCTATCGAAACGACCCTTTTCGTAAATAAAACGGAAAAAGAATGCCACATTTTGCAAAAAAATACTACAAGGGTTCTTTTTGCATCATCATTTATCTGCTTAGTTAAATATAGCCCATTTTTGCGAACTATTGTTCTTGTTGGTATTTTTAAGAAACTGGTTGGTTAGTTTGCAACAAAAGATAAATAATAGTCACCGCACTTGAACCTCCATGGCCGGGGATTGTTGTTTCTTCTTGGATTTGAAACCATTGGCCTGCAGGCACTTTTGACCTTTGGAGCCAAGTCAAACCAATCAGACACCACCCTTGTGGTTCCCGTTGTTCTTTTTGCTGATAAAAACATCGTTTTTCATCAAATGTATAAAAAAAAAAGATTTGTAAAAGAACAATCTATTTATAACTATTTCTGGAAAGCTTTCAAGAAAATGATTATATGCTTGTTGAATTGCTAATAGAAGGATTCTTGGAGGACAACGTTGGTGTTAGCTTATCAGAGTCTTGGTGTAGTCTATGGAGACCTCAGCATTTCCCCACTTTATGTTTACAAAAGCACATTTGCAGATGACATTCATCATTCAGAAACAAATGAAGAGATTTTTGGTGTGCTTTCGTTTGTTTTCTGGACGTTAACTCTTGTCCCTTTGTTCAAGTATGTGTTCATAGTTCTTCGAGCCGACGATAATGGTGAAGGTAAACAGATTAAGTTTATTAAATTGATTTGCAGGATCATGAACTATCAAGCCAAATTATGTTGAATTCTTTGAATAGCAAAAGCCAATAGGCCTATTTCATTTAATTGCACAAGTTCATGGGATCAAATGATGTCATTCCTTGTTGGGTTTGAAAACCATGAAATATTGCAATCAAATTTACTAGTTATAACTGCCTTTTGTTTTTGAAAACTATCACGAGAAGCCAAAAACAAAGGCGTTGTCAAACGGTACAGAGTTGCAGAAATGGCAAAAGAAAAGAAGGATGAACAGTGGACGTGTTATTTTTCTTTTTGCATTCTTGCAAGTATATTGGTCGTTTTGTATCTGATGTTTTCAGTAATCCAGATTGAAATATGTTGTTCGTTAATCTATAGGTGGAACTTTTGCTCTGTATTCCTCAATTTGCCGGCATGCCAAAGTGAGCCTCCTACCAAACCGGCAAGTTTCTGATGAATCACTTTCTACTTATAAACTCAAGCAACCTCCAGAGAAGGAAAACAACTCGCAAGTGAAAATGTTGCTTGAAAAGCATAAGCCTTTGCATACAGCTTTACTGATCCTGGTTCTTCTTGGCACTTGTATGGTCATTGGAGATGGACTCCTCACTCCAGCCATATCTGGTAAAAGTAGAATCTTTTTTGAATTTTCTTTGCATTTTCTTGTTTAATTTTAGCATCATTAACATAGTTTCTTCTTGACATTTGCAGTTTTTTCTGCTGTTTCTGGGCTTGAGTTATCAATGTCCAAAGAACACCATGAATGTGAGTTTCCTTGATACAATTCTTGTGACTCTTATGGTGAAAGATCGTAACGCTTACATTTTACAATCGGGTGATTGACCTTTTTAACCGTAGTACCTGCTCTTTCGTAGCAAACTAATCATTCTTGTGAAAGTGAAAACTATAGTTTGCAATAGTGATTGAATCTTTAACACATTGATAAATGTAAACACAAAAAACAATTGTCCAAATTTGTTTAGTGTTTTTTTAGGCTATGCCCGCAAGAACAATGTTTGTTTGTTTGGATGTGAATTTCAAGTGTTTTGAGTACATATTATGAGATATTTTCTTTGTCTACAGATGCTGTCATCCCGATTACCTGCTTCATATTAGTGTGCCTATTTGCACTACAACATTACGGCACTCATCGAGTCGGTTTCTTGTTTGCTCCAATCGTGCTGTTATGGCTGGTATGCATCAGCGGCCTCGGGTTATACAATATAATGCACTGGAATCCACATGTTTATGAAGCTCTTTCGCCTTATTACATGTATAAGTTTTTGAAGAAGACAAAGAAACAAGGGTGGATGTCTTTGGGTGGCATTTTGCTGTGCATTACAGGTAAAACATCCAAAATTGCTGCATTTGATGTCTAATGAGGTTGAATTGAGGTCAAACAGATTGAACTTCAGAATTGAATCTAATCACATGTTTGCCAAAATGTTCACATGCTCATCTAGAAAGATAAATAACAGATTTATAAGAAAATTCATGTTAGGATAACTGATCAACTTAACTTGCAGGCTCGGAAGCAATGTTTGCCGATCTTGGTCACTTCTCATATACTGCAATTCAGGTATATTTGGCCTAAGATTCACATCCAAGGTCTTTCGATTTTGTGTTCGCCGACATTTTCTCATTTGGCATCGCTGATATCGTTTGGGCCTGATAATTAACTTCTTTTGCAGACCGCTTTCACATTCCTGGTTTATCCTGCATTAATACTAGGCTACATGGGGCAAGCAGCTTATTTGTCAAAACATCACCAAATGGCTCACGACATCAGTTATTACGTCTCAGTACCAGGTATTCCTTTAGAATTCGTAAATGGTGCTTTAAGACATGCATTTTATATGGTCCCACAAACCTTAACGTTAATGACACGATGTTGAAACATATGCAGACAGTGTAAGGTGGCCAGTGCTTGTGATAGCCATTCTTGCTTCTGTGGTTGGAAGTCAAGCAATCATCAGTGGAACGTTCTCGATCATTAACCAAAGCCAATCGCTTGGTTGCTTTCCAAGGGTTAAGGTTATTCATACATCAGACAAGAAACATGGTCAGATTTACATCCCAGAGATTAACTGGATACTCATGATCCTATGTATTGCTGTGACCATTGGATTCAGAGACACCAAACACATGGGAAATGCATCAGGTTGGTGCCCAAACTTTGTTCATCAGATCATGCAATTCACACATTATTCTGTGTGTTCATTTTGTAGTTCTTGATTTGTATTCTGATCAATCTTATGCCGTTGCTATGGTTTGAAAAGTAATAGGTTTAAATGGTATGTTTTCTCTCTTTTGATGTTGCAGTTTTAAGGTTTCAATCTTTATGTTTGCAGGATTGGCTGTTATGGCTGTGATGCTTGTCACGACTTGCCTCATGGCATTGGTTATCGTTCTTTGTTGGCATAAACCTCCGATCTTAGCTCTTTGCTTCCTACTTTTCTTCGGTTCTATAGAACTACTCTACTTCTCAGCTTCCCTAGTTAAGTTTCGTGAAGGTGCATGGCTCCCGATCCTTTTAGCACTCTTTCTCTTGACCGTAATGTTTGTTTGGCACTATGCCACCATCAAGAAGTACGAATATGACCTTCAGAATAAGGTGTCTTTAGAATGGTTACTGGCTTTGGGTCCAAGTTTGGGCATTTCTAGGGTCCCTGGCATTGGCCTTGTGTTCACGGACCTTACCTCGGGAATCCCTGCTAACTTCTCGCGATTCGTGACCAATCTGCCCGCGTTTCACCGTATTTTGGTGTTTGTGTGTGTGAAATCTGTACCTGTTCCTTTCATCCCTCCAGCTGAGAGGTACCTTGTAGGCCGTGTAGGTCCCTCTACCCTTAGGTCGTATAGGTGCATTGTGCGTTATGGGTATCGTGATGTTCACCAGGATGTGGATTCGTTTGAGTCCGACCTTGTTAACCGGCTCGCTGATTTCATTCGCTATGATTGGTGCCGTCCTGAATCGACGAGTGATACAGGTAACTTTTGTATATAACCGGTCTATATTAATAAATTGTATAACGGATTCTTGGTCACGGATGATGACAATATCCTGCCTATACGATATGGACGTGGATTCTAACTACTAAGGCCATGTTTTGGCGATCAGAAGCTTACTTATTCTTTGAGCTTATTAAAAGAACCCGTTTAGTTAGTCATGAACTAGCTGATAAGCTAGCTTATTAAAAGCCCTAGACTCTTCTCTCTTACATGGATAATGGATTCTGTGCAGGTAACGAGGATGACGGGTTGCGGTCAGGACAGTCATCGGGGGAGGATAGGCTTGCAGTAATAGGGAACATGGACTTTTCTGCGTCATGGGCTTTTGAAGCAGAGGAAAGTATGCAACACGTTAGCGTATCTGTCGGGTCCCACACAGACGATAGTGTAACGGACATAATCGAGATGGTCCCACAGATCAAAAGAAAACGAGTAACGTTTGCAGTTGAAGATCACGACGAGGTCGACGCTCCAAAACACGTGCAAATGAGAGAAGAACTTGAAGATCTGTTGGGGGGTCAGCAAAGCGGAACCGCATTCATACTCGGTCACTCGCATGTGAAAGCGAAACACGGATCGTCAATTTTGAAGAGGTTAGCAATCAATTTTGCGTATAATTTTCTGCGGCGGAATTGCCGGGGACCGGATGTTGCACTGAAGGTGCCGCCGGCATCTTTGCTGGAAGTTGGCATGGTTTATGTTGTATAGAACCCATATACTGATGCATTGTGTAACTAGTTTGTGTGCTCATATCAATACAAATCATCTTGCTCTCCTCAAATTGCTTATGTGTATTTTGAATAATCTCAAACCACAAGGTCAAAAGTGCCTGGAGGTCCCACATTCAAATCCAATGAGGAACAAAAATCTTCTTATGTCCACGGAGGTTCAAACAAAAAAACAATTTTACTTTTAATTTTAGAGACATAATATTTTTACATCTCATAATTAATGATAAAATAGAAAAACAGACATTCATTTTAAAGTAGACACATATTTTGTAACGACTCAGATACGAAATTTATAATTTAAAAATAAGCTATGAAAAGTTATAAAAAGGTATTTTGATCATTTATTGTTACTTCGTTACAAATTCGAACCTATATTTAACGAATCAATCATACAAATTGCGAGAGATATCATTCGTATTCATGGTCTACCCATGACTAACATATCCTTTCTTATTGCACAAACTACAAAACCTTGATGCATGTGTGCATTTGGCAATCTGTCAATCAAGCAAAAAATCGATCCTCTCAATTTCATTAGTCAGCCAAAGGGCCACGTAACGACCCATAAACCATACATTCCAACTGACACGTGGCAACCTTCCAATGGTCCAACTCAGCAAAGAAAAAACATAACCACCAACGTCTACACCACCTGTTACTCCCACAGGAAGTTACACTCCCTCCACCCAAAATCATACACAAACAAATCCAATCCTGTGTCACAAATATTTCTTTTTTCTTAATTAAAAAACATTTGTTCCAAAATATTAAAGATTGTTTATGATATTAATATTGTTAAGATGGCTTAATAGGTTACAAGTGAGGGTTCTATATAGCCATTTTGGGTTAATGACTTCACTATTAAGCCGTAAATAAACACTTGGTATAGCTGATCGGATAAGCTTATTAAACTGTAGGTAAACATTATATATGTTATATTTTATTTATAACAAGTAGAATTAAAATACATTTTATAATACTGAAAAAAGGTTAGATTATTTTTCTGTTTTAATTATGGAATTTTTATTTCATATTTTAAAATAATAATAATTTATAAAATTAGGAAAAAGGAAATGTTTTATTACAAGTATATAAAGTGGAATTTGGTGTGAATTTAGTTGTATTGAGAAAGAATGGGGATGGGGATGGGGATGAAGGCTCTTCTTCCCATATCATCTGGCTTTGCTGCTTCTAACTTCACCCTCTCAAAACAAACCCTTACACCAACCAATTCCTATTACAATTACAAATCCACCATTGTTTCTGCCAAAACAGAGAAAGGTAACAAAGAAGAAGAACCTCAAAAAAGGAAGCAGAATCTGTTCGAAAGTGTCACCGAAGCTCTGGATTTCGCTCAAGTCAGATCACCCGAAGATGCACAGCTTATCGAAGATGCTAGATCTGCAACCAAATCTGGAGAGAAAATGAGCAGAGAACAGGTACGGTTTGTTAGTTTAGTCGTGATTTGACGAACTGTACCGATTTGGATACGTCAAATTCATGGAAATGATTTGTGATTGCAGTATGGCGCTCTTAGGAGGAAGATTGGAGGAACGTATAAGGATTTTTTCAAATCATACGTTGAAGGTAACATCTGAATCTGATGTGATGATGAATTTGATGCAATTGCATATATAATTGGAGATTGATGAATGTGTTGTGTTTGATGATCAGTTGATGGTGAATACGTAGAAGAAGGGTGGGTTGATAAGACATGTAAAGTGTGCAAGAAGGACACAAGAGGTGAGGCAAGGCAAGTGGACAAGCGTGGAAGATATGTTCATGTAGCATGCTTGGACAAGCCTAAATCTGGAAACTTCTTTACCAATCTTTTTTCTGGTTAAAATAGAAATTATATACATGTTTTAAACTGTCATTTGAATCGAATCTTATATCCCAGGCGTTTAGGGTTTTGTTTGTTTAGTGTTTGATTAGATTCATGAACGCTAATTGTCGTTCAAAATATATATTTATATAGAGAAAAGTTCAAACAAGATGGTAAGAATAATAAACATTGTGTTTTAAATCACAATTTAATAGAAGTTAAGGGATTTTTTAAATTAAAAGTAGTATGAAATAATGTTCAAAAATATTTAAGGCGAGGAAGGGTGAAATTGAAAATTAAAATGATAACATTTAAATAACACGATCACGATTACTCCGATCATTGGGGAAGTAAGTGATAACATCGTCGATTCAAAATTTGATGTAAAATGAGAACGGAAAACTCATGAAACAGAGGAATTTTGTCGCCCACGACAAATGATGTTATCGTTTTTTCACTATTTTATAAAGATTATCGTTTATCAAGGAATAGAAAGTAAAATTTCGTAGAAGCAGAAAACACCAAAACGCCTATTTGGGACGGATAAATTTTCACAAACTCTTCTAATTGAATGCCAAAAACCTAAAATTTATGTTTAAACAAAATAAAAATACAGTAGCGTGCAATCATACACATTTGTATATGTGCATCTGACTTCCAGGATTACACTTCACTAATTTCTAAGGTTTTCTACAAATTGTCATTTGATTCCAAACAACCATATGTGTGATGAAACATAAGAGTGGGGAAAACACGGTTTTGCCAAGTTGCCGCAATGGCCAATCGCTTCTTTGCATATTCCGTCATTGTCGCCTCAAACCCATACACATTAGTGACGACCCGCTAGTCGTGTGAACCTGCATCGAAATACCCACCGGTTCAAATAACAAATAAACAAACAAACAAACAAAGAAATACACCATAACGAAGTCTTATCGGTTACAACTTGTCATTCATCAATCATGACGATGATGATTTTGAAACTTTTCGACTCCGATATTGTCTTGAAATTGGATTTGTTCATGGAAAGAAGTTTTAAATCTGTATACCCGTGACAAATGAAAGTATGTACATTCAGAAAAACAATACTTGTTTAAATCCAAGCCTAGCAATATATAAACTAAATACATAACAATGTTATGTATTTGAGACCTCACTTTAGTTGGAGAGAGAGACGTAAAAGAAAAAACACAGAAACAATATTTTGGTTCATGCATATAAGGTATAGTCACGCAGATCCTTATTCTGCGTAACCCGTGTATTATGGGAAACAAATGCCTTAATAGGAGGAGAATCCGTTTTAAGGACATTGTGACTAGCACGAGCCTTGGGCTGTTTTCCACTGCTTCTTTTGTTTATGTTGTTAATATAGATAACAACTTAAAACAGATTATTGTACATATCAGTCTTATTACTGTGTTATACTTGTGTACAATATTCAAAAAGCTTATTCTTTTGCTGCATGATTAAAATGATAAGTACTATATTAATTTGATTGATTGATTGATTGATTTATTTATTATTATATATTTAACATGATAACAGTTATTATTGTTAACATGTCAGATTTTTTTACATTTATTTCTAAATGAAAATTATATACAATAATAAAATCAAAGGTACAATAAACCATATTACTAGAGATGATTTAACATTTAATGTTAAATTTAGAATGTTTATTTCATATTAACCGAAGATTGATGATTTAAGAAAACCGAAGTTGATAATAATAACATAAATTTATTTAGAAGAACAAAGTTGATAATAGTAACATAATATTTATTTAAAAAAATAAAGAGAACAAAGATATTAATATTAACATAATTATTATCGATTAAAAGAACAAAAAACAAGAATGGTTAAGTTGTAATGATTAATAGATAAAATAAAATAAAAAAAGTAAGAACATAATTACGCAATAATTAATAATAGAGGGATGTCTAAATAGCAAACAGACGGATGTGTATATAGAATCACCCTTTTTTTTTCCTTTTTTTTATTAATCTGGATATCCAACCCGTTATGCGAGCTGATTAATCTTATGACGACCACCTACTTTGTAAATATCTCAGAGTCATTGCATTTGAACCTCTGTAGCCACACGGAGATTTTTATTCCTCTTTCTCTTTGTTATTATCAACAATGGTGATTCTATTTAGACACATCTCTACTACTAATTATTACATGATGATTTTTTATTTTTTTTATTTTTATTTACCAATCATCATAACTTAATCATTTTCATATTTGTAATCATTATGTTATTATTAATATTTTTCCTTGTTATTTTTCTAAACAAAAGATTATAAAACAATTATGCACCGATAGAATGGTGAGTATTCTGATCCCTCATACTTCCAATCATATGAACTATCATTGTTGAGGACATTGATTTACACTTATTTGAGTTATGATATATTTGACGCTTATTTCACTTGATTGGGTATTTAATGAACCTAAGTAGCATTGTTTTATATACAAACACGGTTGTGGCATAATTTTGATTTTAGACGGGTGAGGAATTTTGATGTTCTAACTTCGTAACTTGGGGAACAACTAAACAAGGAGTTTTGATGTTCTTGTATTAGCCCCAATAAGAGTAATTGTCAAGGCTTGTATGCTAGAGATATTTTACTCGTCAACATCTCGATGTGGCTTACTTAGGGGCTGTTTACCTAAATGCTTACCCGGTAAGTGCTTGCCGTTAGGAGTCGACACTATAATTTATTTTACTGGCTAAATTGTAGTACATCAAAACGTATTTCATGTAACAATTTGTCTGGTAAGCGCTTGCCCGGGTAAAAGTCATCACCCTCACTTGTCGAGTAAGACTCTCCATCCTTATCATCGTTCTTACCGGGTAAGATTCTTAGCCCTTTCCATGTTCATCCGGTGAGGAAAATTACCCAATAAGTACTTACCAGGTAAGCGTTTAGTAAATGATCCCTTAATGTTCCGCCACTTGATAGAATCGGGTTTCCCGTTATCACAAGATAAATTAATTGATTATCATCCTTTTAGTTTAATTGGTTTTTATACATTGTTGCAAGCCTAACCTTTTTCCCAAGAGAAGCTAATACATTACCTTTTTCTATTTATTATTTGTAAACTTGGAGTAACTTCTGATCTCACTAGGCGTCAAGCCTAACACTTCTTCTCAATGACATGTATAACATGTCCGATATTATCAAGCCTAACAGCTTGTGACATAAAGCATGGAACATGGCGAATACTTTTATTTTTGGAATGTAAATGCTTGTTTTAACTGAGTTTTAAATTACTGCTATTTTTAAATTTTAGGGGTATTACAGATATATTACAGTTCATTTTTTATCCTTTTAGTTGTTGATTTTACGGTTCATTGTTGATTCCTGATGCTTCATATGAATAGTAAGTCATTGCTTATGGTTAGTAACTGTCCAAACTTTATGCTATTCTTCGTTTATATGTTTGCGAAAAATTTCTAAACTTTATGCTACTTTATAAAATTGTTTGGACAGAAATGGAATTAGTTGGTGAATCTTCGCACAAAAAAAAAACACAGGATTACATAGAAAAAGGACAAGTTGGTTCAAATATTTCTTGAAGCTTGTATACACAAGATAATTTAAAGTGGACAAGAAGGTAGTAGTCTTAAGACACAGTCGTGGAAGAATGTTGGAGAACATTGAAAAGGACCATAACGTTATCGTCGACCAACGACAGATGAATAATCACTACGATTCTTGACCAACCCCATGTTTATTGTTGATGGACAAGAAGGAATCGAGGGAGATGATGAAAATGACGTGGATGGAAGGCCTTTTGGTACGCAAAGTAATGAATACATGGCTAATTTACGTGATTGTGAATCAGTTAATGTTAAATGCATCAAATTAAGAATTGTTCAAAAACTATTATGTGGGAATTTAATCGTTATGTTTTGTTTATTCTTTAACTTGAAAAAGTAATGTTATGTTTGTTTGGATTAATATGAAATGTGTTGTTTTGCAAATTAATTGTTTCATTCAGATATATGTCAAACAACTATATTTTATTTAAAACTAAATCATACAAATGGTTAAAATGGTAATTTGTTGTCATTTAAATTGTTCATTCAAAACAATTACCAAACAACCATATTTCATTTATATACTGTATCATACAGAGTCTTTTAAACATTTTGATCACTTAACCATTTTTGTATCAAATTATTTAACAACTATCAAACAACCATTAACATTGAATTCATATAAATTCAATTAATCACTCCGATCACTTAATCAGTTAGCTAAATACATGGTAGGTGGGACCACCTTTACCATTTTGTTTTTGTGGAGCCCTTATCACAAAGGTAGGGTGCGTATATATATATGTATGTATACGTCTCTCTCTCAAATCCGCGGGAATCCTAAGAAGACTTTGGCGGGAAATCTGCCTACTTAACTGTAAGCGCGGGAAGCCGATGAAGAAATCGGACTCACTAGCAGACTGAGAGTGTTCGTGAGAGATAGAGAAAGAAAGAGAGAAATCTAAAGATGGTAGGCCGTCAATACGATTGCTTGGTGAACCCTCTTGGGGCCGTCCGATTCACTTTTGAGAAGGCCGTGGCTTCTGGTTCAGACCCGGCTTCTTTTGACCGCAAAGATTGGGGAGTCGCCGATCTCTTCCGGGAGTTCCTTTTTGACAGTGATGGCCTCAGTCAGGTATTATACATGTATATAGAATTCTAGGGCTCATGAATCAGTGGAATTTTTATATTACGTTTCCGTCCATGTATGTTTCATTTTGTCCCGGTGTGTTCATAATTGCTGTTTTTCGGTGTTTTGTTACTTTGTAGTCGTTTTGTTTGTATATCCATTTTTGTTTATGCAAGTTCTCTGGATTGATTGTGGAGCATACAAGTGTGATATCGGGGAGGAGCTAAACTGATTGTCTCAAAGGGCCATATAACAAAAAGGGAACTAGTATACTACAATCCCTGAACATTGATTGAAAGGACTACATCAACAACCCAGTCTCTACCATCTTCCCCCATCCCCTTGACCTCATCCTACCCTCGTAGTTTTTTGATTAAAATGCATATAAACCAAATTGTTACTGGTGTTCCTGATCCCAAACAAAATTCTCAACTAATGTTTGAAGTGGTTTCTATTGTTGTACCAGAAGTATTTTGCAGATAAAGCTTCTAATTGGAATCTATAAAGATTGGATTCTTTCAGTTTGCTATTCAATCTTGGGTGTCTCTAATATTGAAACTTGTAACTTCACCTAAGGTTGAATTTCACCCTAAAGGCCTAAAGAAATTTCATCTAGGACTTTAAGAAGCGGATGTGGTTTTTGGAGGTGATAATCACACTAACAAAGTAGATTGAGGAGTTAGATTATGGTTTTTTATTAGTTTGAGCATTAAATTAGATAGTGGGGAAAGGTTCCGTTGGTCTTTTGGCTGTTTACTGTTCAAACCAATTTTGTACAAAATGTGACATTATGTTTTCTATTTTAGCACTTGTTACACAGTTTCCTGCGATTATCAATGTTCTATTATAAGGTTTTAGAATTGACATCAATTTTAAAGCTGAGAAAATTAGCCAATTTGACTTTAATGATCAAAGCACAAGTCTTTTTAACAGGGGGTTCATCATTTTCACAATGGACTCTGTAAGTATTTTAAACCAAAGGAAAAAGGTTACCTACTTTAGTTGTTAGCTCTCCAGGATATTTGCACCCTCTATTTTATTTACTGCACTTCTAGTTTCCTCTTCTTCCATAGATCGTTCGAACTGTATAGGAACAATAATCAATTTTAGCTCTCCTGTAAGGACGATCCTTAGTTTTTGTATTGATTGTAAAAAGATTCTTCCATATTTGAAGTGGGAACAGGCGATGGATTATTTTAATTGGTTTGCGTACAACGTGCACATGTGTAACGAGCAATCACTTTTTGCGTTATTGAGTAGAAAGATTTATGGTTTCTAATTATTGCTGACTGGTGAAATATTGGTCACCATATATAGGTCCCAATACTAACTCCGTCAACTGTTCAATTGGCTCAACCAAACACTTTGGTTCGCTTTCGTGGTATGATACAAGACATGCTGGGCAATGAATTTTATGTTGGTGCTTACAAGGTATGATGGGCCTTATTCTCTTTGATTTGGTGAACCTTCAGTTAACCTCTGAATAGGATCTATAATATATTTTGGTATTGTTAGTAAATATTGTGTAATCTCTTGTAGAATGAAGACACATGGAATACCAACAAGTTTACAGATGTTTCTCAATTTCCTATGGGTACTTCACCCAATATGCGGGTCTGGGAGCGTCGTCTACTCTACTGTGTTCCTGTGAGTCCTATAACTTTGATTACCCTTTCTAATATGGTGTTAGGCATATATATCCTAAGAACGTGAAAATTTGTAGAACGGTAAGCTGAAACTTAGTTTTTATAAAGAGTTTTGGTTAAAGTTGAATCTATGTATGCATTGAGTATCCGATGTTTTTTAACTCGAATGTTAAATTGTTTCTCATAAGTACTTGAAAGTTAGGTCTCTTACTTACTGATTTGCCTTATTTGTAGGTCCCTGGTCAGAATTCATGGGCAGATTCTACTTCTGAGGGCGTAATATATCCCTGTACAAACGTTGCATCTGCAAACAGAGAGAAGCGACTGAGAGAAAACTGTTCTGTTTCTGCTGATGTGGATATGCAAGTATGTTTGACTCTACAAGTTTTTGTATGCTTTCATTTTTGTCTTACCACCAACTAGTAAGGATTGGCTAGTTAGATTGGTGATAGTTGAGGCCTTGTTTTCTGTTTTAGTGGCCAGGAGCATGCAAAGGGTTATCCCTCTCTGTCTCTTATGCTTTAATGATCTAGTTGCTTACAAGCAAGCTGTATTGTATTGTGGATATCTCATTGGACATCTGTCTTATTGCTTGAATTTCTACTGATTTTTTTTGCATTTTGTGTGTTAGTAGTTGTTTTGTGAAAAAGCTGAACACTTCGCATGGATGTTCTGACATTTTTTTTGTTAATGACAGGACTCAAGTAACGATTTGTCACTTCCTCCATGTGCAAAGAAGATGGTGAGCTAATAATCGTATTTTCATATACTTGTCTTTTAAAATTCCAACAAAAAAACTCACATTGTAGCACATTTATTTCAAAAAATTGTTCAAACTAATTGATTGCATCTTGAACTTTTAATATCCATGCTTTGTTTCTGTGCTATTTCATTGCAATGTTCAGAATGTCCAAACAAACTTGAATCACTAAAACATCATCAAGATTATTACATTTTATTGTTCTGTTGTTGCTTAAAGAGTGAGACATTGACTTCTCCATTAGGTTGAACTTGAAATTGCATTTGGGTTATCTTCACACTTCAACGGCTTGGAAATTCAATGTATTGATGAAATCTTTACTTCTACTTGGCCACACTTTAATTCTGGGCTACCCTTGCTACTAACAAAAACCCTCTTCAAGGTTGTGGTGACTGGTGAACCTAGGCTGCTGAATGATTAATGAAACTACTTGGTGAACCCAAAAAAAAAGTTACCTGCAAATTTTACAAGTAATATTAGTCAAGTTTCTTTAAAAATTACATACCAAGCAGAGACAGTTCTCTCACGAATCACAATCCTTGTTGTCTTAAATTGTAACAGAGCTTGGTCACTGAAACTCTCAGAAAAAGCCATTAGAAGCTCTTCTGATGACCATATAAAAACATTTAGGGACCTAGCTGTTGAGAGGCTAGATTGACGCCTACTATCCAATTCTGCTGTTTGCAGCTTTTTGTTTGTTACTGTAGTAAAAGTAACCTAATACTAACTTCAACTAAACTTCTATAATTTTTTGCCACTATGCATCTTTATCATTTGAGAGGCTAGATTGACTGCATTTCTATTCGAAGGCATTTTGAGCATAGAGGGAAATGTATTTGAAGGGTTATTAAGGTGAATTAATTTGACATGTACATTTATGTTCAATGTTCATTCCCTGTTGACAAAATGGAAGTACTTATTGGTGACTTATCGGGAGTTTAATTGCAGAATAATTCAGCTTATTCTGTTTCACCATGACTTTTAGTATACTTGAGCTAATTTGTTGAGAATGTATATTTTCCTTCACAGAGAGGTGAATTTTCCCCATCGGAAAACATTACCGAGGGAACGGACTGTGGTACCAGTATGGTGCTTGATTCTGATGGAAATGATTTTGCATGTCTAGTGAAGGTAATTTTTCATTTAAAGCCATTGCTCTATTCCTCTTGTATTACTTAGTCAAAAACTTCCTCATAAAGCTTTTATTCTGCAGATATATGACTCTCCAGAGTCTGACTTGAAGCTAAATGATGTATTTGAGTTTATTGGTGTCCTTACATATGACACTGAGGTTAAATTTGATAAAGGTGGTGATAATGAACTAGCAAATTCCTTCCCTGAAGATGAATCAGTCAATCTACCTCCTAGCAAGGTCTCCTCCATTTCATGTGTTGTGTAAAATGTTTGTTTTCTCTTTTTATACCTTGTTTTATTTCTCGAGTACATAGTTGGTATATGCACTAGTTGACTCTTCACCTGTCAGCTAATTTTATCTGAGTAAATCATATTGTTGGGATAAGCAGTCTATGTTTTTTTATAAAGTATGTTGAGTAATCTGTTGTTAAATTACATCAGGTATCATGTTGCAATATTGTCGTAAGGATAGTATCCTTTCTGGTTTTGATATGTTACAGATGTTTTTTCTGGTGGTGCAGGTGCCACGTCTTCATTGTCTTGTACACAGAAAACTTTCAGTTGATGATATGATTTTAAGTTCACCAGCAATGGAGGTAGGTGAAATTATTGCATTCATTATCCAGTGAGTCATTGCCTTGCCGTTAGTTTCCCATGTTGAATTTGTTTAAATCTTGTGATCTTACAGCCAAAACCCCATTTGGTGAAAGGAATGCGTGAATCCCTGTTGCGCCATCTTACAGCAGTTCTGGGTGATGATGAGTTAGCAGCTCATTTTATGTTATTGCACCTATTGTCAAAGGTAAGAGTTACATTATGGTATGATTCCTTTTCAGATATATATATATATATATATACATACACTTTATTCTCCCTATATATGACATGGGGTATTTGAACTTATAGAAAAATCCCCGTTTGGTGTGCCACTAATTAGCTTATAAGCTAGGTTTTTGACAAACTACTTCAGGCAGCGTTTCAATTATGCTCCTTATTAGCCAGTTTTTACTAAAAATGACTAGTTTATTTGCTACTTTGCCAAACATAGCCTTTGTCTTTTGTGTTTTTTGATTGTCTGATTTGAGACACTCTTGACAGGTCATATTCCTGTATGCTATAAGGTAAAAGAATAACAAGAATTGTGGGTGCAGGTTCATGCAAGGGTAGACTCATTTGCAGTGGGGAAGCTATCACTTAATCTTACTGGTTTTGACAAAGCAAGTATATCTGTGTTTGGTAACCGTATCAACGATGCAGTGAAGAACCTTGTACCTTTCAGTCATCGTATGCCCCTCACAGTGGAATATCTCAACACCGCGTCACTTGCCCCAGTAAAGGATTATCAAACAAACAGGTAACATAACATTGAGTCTTGGGAATAAGTGTTGATGACATTTCATGGATGATCCTTTATTGCTTCTTGACATCCTTGTGTTATAATTTCCAGACTTGTGTGTGGGGTTCTTCAGTGTGCAGAGGGCTCACACTTGACCATAGACGAGACATCATTAGAAGCAGGGACTCTGAACAGTAATGGTGTTGAAAATACAAAAATTCTCAAGGATCTGATGGAGTTCCAAATGGTACCCGACATTATTTTATTATTGATATTTAATGCTGTGTTTGTATTTTGTAGATTTGTTATATGATGGCATTGTGGGGGATTTTCATATATCATTTTTTTGGGGGTTACAGGTGGAATATGATTTTAAATATTACAAAATGAAGATGAATGCGGATGTTCAACTACTGATACTTTCAGAGGGAAAATCAAACATCATACCAGCTGATCTAGTTGTTCCTTTCCATCCATCGTCTGTGGGTCCCTTGGGAACTGTAGATGCAGAAACATTAAACGCGTGGAGATGGTATTTGGCTACTCTTAGATCATTGCCACATTCTATCGAAACAGAAATGCAAAAGGTACATCTTAATTGTTCATTGCTGTGCTTTAGAATACCAACTGGGTGCAAATATCAAGTATAATATGGCAATTTATTGTAACCAGAATGTTAAAGATATAAATGGGACACCTAAGATGAAAATGTTGAAATGACAGGTGGTAGAAGATGATATGGTTGCAGCTAGACAAGCTGATCGGAGTCTGGGCAGTGAGGATTTTAGCAGGTTTATTTTTGGTACATTGGTGTTTTTTTTGAAAGGGTGTCTTAGGCTATGGCTGGACTAATCCCTACGGATTGAGACTGCAAGAAATTAGCCTGATAAACTCAGTGGCCACAATTGTTGTGTACGTCTCGGCAGATGGAATGTTTCACCACATCCCAAGGGGCTCAACCACTACGCCACAACCCTTGTGGCTCTGTTTTGGTTTATTGTTGGTGGATGATGGATGGTTGAGTTTATAAATTATAAAATTATATGATTTTGTGAAATCATGTGCAGATGGCTAAGTATGGGGCGGCTAATGTCAGCGAGCTTTGGTGAGACGTGTTTATCGCATGAACACTGGCAAATGGTGAAAGAAATGGAAAGGCTAAGAAAAGAGAGGGTTCAATGAGTGTTGAATTGTGGATCTGTTTTCTGAACTCACTTCACTTGTATTTATGATCCTAACCTTATATGGTATTGCCTTTTTGTGGGTTTTCTTTTCTAGTTAATTTTGAAGCCAATGATTTTGCACATATTTCATTCTTATGTTAGATGTTTATCGGAATCCTGCACAACCACAACATGCAATTAAAGGATTACAAGTCTTGATAATGTTAAAAATGGTACAAAATATGGTTATTTTCATTTTTAGAAAGAAAAATGAACAGGACAGTTGTTCAGCGTTTGGTAAGACATGACAAGATAGAACTGATTAAAATGACTAATTTACCTCTAGCGAGTTGTTTAGTGTTTTTTTCACTAAATAATCAATATAAATGTGAACAAATGCTATTTAAAAATACAAAAAAATAATTTCTAAAATCAATATTAATTAAAAATTCATATTCATAAATCAAAAGATTTAAACATCATGTTCACCAACACAAAAGTTGAAATGTTTACCAACGTTCAAATGTTTTTTTTTGTGTACCAAAAGACTTAAACACAAAAGATCAAATGTTTACAATTGTGTACCAAAAGACTTAAACACAAAAGATCAAATGTTTACCAACTAACATCACATGTTTAATTTCTTTAAGGTGATCCTCACAAATTTTGGTTTCAAAGTAGCATTAATGGTATTCCATAGGCTTAGTTGAATCGAGTTATCAACAAAATACATACCAATAGCAATAGCCTGATCATTATCAAAACCCATGTTGCTTAACTAATCGGGCATAGTTTGTAAATCCAGAATACAACAACTGATACCAACTTACCCATTTCTTCGGATAACGAATTCAATCCCTTTTCAATTATCTTGATTGCATCTTCAGAAACAACAACTTTTCTCTTTCCCTCTTTGGATGATGCTTCTACGTCTTGTGGAATGGAGGAGGCAGAAGCGTCATAGAAGAAGTAGTCAAAGGCACGTTCAATTCTTCGGTATCACCACTAACTTCACTTTCTACATTGATGTGCTTCAATGCATCTGCGGCAGATTTCCGCCATCAATCCTGTAGCTCGATCTTTTCCAAAACACCATAACACTTATATATAGTGTTTATGGGGTCAAAACAAAGAAATGGTAGCACTTTGGCTAGAAAAACGGCTAATTTTTTGAAAATTCCAGGCCGCGTCGGGCCGGTCCCTCTAAACAGTCCAAAACCATAACCAGTTTCGAACCGTGGTCCCATAACCAGTCTCGGGTCGGGCTGGTCCTTTGTCGGTCCCGGTTCTAGTCCTCCGAGAGTCCTGCGTCGGGGCGGGGCCCAAGTGCCCATGTCTACTATAGGGGCACCCAAAAATGATTACCTCATGGATAACTGTCTCATAAAAAAGTTAAAGATCGGTACTAAAATCTACGTAATAAAATTATAGACCACAATGAAAAAAAATAGACCATAGGGAAAAAGTATTTGTTCCATGCATCCAAATCATTGACTAATTGTAAATATTAATCTGAAACTATATTGTTTAGCTGTTGACTGATGATCCAATGGACACCGGAAACAAAAGACATAGACGTATTACATCAATGTCTGCTAATGTTCCAAATTTTTGTTGTTCAAAAACTCGGTTAAGATCACTCATATGTACCAAAACGATCTTCATCAAGGTCTAAAAGCCGACTTCTAAAGGACGACTTTATTATCTCTGGTAACGAAGGTTTTTTGGGACCAAATTGCCTATCGATAATGAGACAAAATTCTTCTCGCCCAAAACGTAAAATGTGTCCCCCAACATTAAAATACAATGTCTTTTTACGGTCTTGCTCTAGTAGTACCTGAATTTGTAAGACCAAATGCACGAGCACCGGGTCTTGATGTATTGATTGTATATCGAGCCAATAACCGAAACAGGTACTCCTAAACATTGTGTAGTTTGTTTGTCGACCTCCAAAATTCCCTCAAATTTGTATTTGAAATTTCTATACTTGATTTTATATTCACAAATGCTTCGTAATAATCTCCCTGATAGATATAATATAAAGAAGTTACAAATAACAAAAGTGTCTGGAGGTCCCAAGTTCAAATCCAAGAAGGAATAAGAATCTCTTTGAGTCCACGTAGGTTCAAACGTGGTGACTCCAGGCTACCCACAAAGCAGGTGATCACCCTATGATTAGTCGTCTCGCGTAGCGGGTTGAATATCTAGATTAATAAGAAAAAAAACATATAAATTCAAAATAGTGCAAAATGAAAATGTGTTTTTGGTTCAATGTAAGAAAGCTTACCATAATGAACGGCGATCAAATATCGGTCAACGACGGTGAAAGTGTAGCTGGATATTTAAAATTGGATGTTTCTTTTGATATTGATGGTGTAAAAGTTAGTTTATAGTAAAGGTGAAAGTGACTCATGTTCATATTAGGATTACGTGACAAATGTTCGACTTTTTTTTGAACCCAGAGCTTGATCGGCATCTATTTTCTTAAAAAGGGTAAAATTGGCAATTTTTAGTAATTTTCTGTATTTTGACATTTTCTAGACCAAATGATTCTGATGCGTTTGTGTTTCATGGAGAAGGGGGGAACGAGAAGTTCGTTGTTTCTTCACCGATTGATTCATAGTTGAAGAAAAGATATGATCATCTTCCGTAGACCACAAATTCAATCCTTCATATCACTCTTCGTTACCATCCATCCTCATGAGACATACACCGTTTTCTACTCCACTTCTTCTTTCTTCTTCGTAATTTCTTCAAACCCATCATTCTTTCTTTACCATCTTCATTTCATTGCTTCTTGTAATCGTTTCCCTCGTTTTTTGCAGGTATTGAGTGCATATTTTGTGGTTTTGCCTTTACGAGATGAAGGCGCCATTTCCTTGGGTATAGGCAATCTCCCAGGCCTTTTTATAGGCTCCTTGATATTGACATTGATTGCTGCTCCTCTTGCCACACTCATCTTTTCATCACCTAATCTTTCTAAAGCCAAGGTACACACACATACATACATAAAATCCATGTTTCATTTTTGATTATTTTCTGATTTTGTTTTTCAATTTCAAAGATCAACACATTACATGATGTGTGCGATTACCATGGTTGTAGACTATTTGACTGTAAGATACCTGACTGGTAAGAGTTTGGTGTTTGGGAAAAACATGTTGGCCATGAAACTATGGAACTTTGTCTGTTTCTTTATAGATTTGTTTTGTTCAATTTGGTGGATTTGGTTTTCCTATCAATTGGATCATCATTGTGCAAATATGAGTTTAAGATATATTGGCCTGTTACCAGAAGCTTCTAAAATATCTTTGGCTTGTTTTATGCAATTTTGGTTTTGCTTAAACCGCCAACACTGATCTCATTGACTCGAGGGTTATCATTTCAACTGTTTGATTTGTAAATTTATTAGAATTTATAAACAGATAATTGTATTATTCTTTGTTAGTAATTCATGGTTGTGAGTTAGTATGAACCATGTTGGAAAGATGCTACAAACCATAGGTTGGCATTTCATCGTATAAATAAAGGGTTCACTTTAGACCCCTTTTAGTGGTATTCGATTATTATTAATCTTGTTGAACTCAATGACCATCTCTTGCTTTCTATCTCTCTCTCTTGATTATTATTGATCCTGTAAACACTTTCTTATTCTCCACATAACTTCCCAATGCACCCTCTTATATGCCTCATCTAGGTTGATGAAGCCATATGAAGTCCTTTACCCTCTCTTGTTTCTCTCCATAAGTTGTCTAGTAAATAATATGTATTCAGTCCTTGATTAATGATTTCCCAGCATAAAAGAAAATTAGTTTTCTCAAGACTTTTGTTGGAAATCTTGGTATATGCTTAATTAATTGTGATAGATCCGGTATTTATATTTCAGTCTCAGATTACCATATGGGATAGTGTCTAGAAAGGAACCGGCTGAGTTGTTGACTTAAAAAAAAAAGTCGCAGATTATAATTGCACCGAATAGATCCTAGCTCCCATGATACCGGCCTGGCTATTTCATATTGGTAGTCAGATGGATTAGTAAGAAGTGTTGATCTTATTAAAATAAAAGAATTGTGGTGTAAGAGAAATAGATTACAAACTCGCATAACCTTGAAATCTTGAGATTTAAGAATTTATAGGAAATCCATTTAGAGATAAGCTGCCCATGAGCATCATGGCATAGGTAAAAGGGAATGAGGAGGCAAGCCCCCCATCACTTTGAGATTTAAGAATTTATAGGAAATCCAATAAGAGTCTATTATTCGATGAAATATTTTAGCAAGATTTCCTTTATTATGTTGGAAAATGGTGATCAAATATCAGCTAATTAAGTAGTATGTGGGATGACAATTAAATGATCTGGTGATCAAATATCAGCTAATTAAGTAGTATGTGGGATGACAATTAAATGATCATGGTGATCAATATTAGCTAATTTAGTGTATTATTCTCAATTGTACTCGGTATTGTCCATATCATAGTAGCTATTTTGATATTATAATATCAGACTATGTTAATAGTTAATATTATTGAATGTAAATAATTCAGGTCAGACTTATTAAAAGGAATTATACAACTATGATACAAGACTAAGATGCAAAAGGATGTTTGGGACATATATGTTGTCATTTTAATCATCAAGAAAGTCTAGAAGGAATGATAGAACAACATTCAACACTAAGCATGTCACGGATAAGGCCATACAACCAAGTGTTTATGTAGGCCAAAGCTAAGGTGAATCCAAGGTTAAACATCGAGGTAGAAGCTAAGATATAGGAGTAGTAAACAATAAGAAAATTGTTCTGTCAGTTCTTGAAATTTTGTAATCTAGTAAAGGATTGTGTTATGGATAAGGATTTCAAATCATAATCAAAGGATGTAATATGTGAGAAAGATAGTGATTAGCCATCTAAAGAAATAGGCCAAGAGATAAGAATTGAGTTATCCTTTATGCAGTAAGTCTAACAGAAGACACTTGTGAGTATGACAAGTAGAAAGACAGCTTTCACAGGCTTTTGAGTAAAGAGAAATGGCCAGAAAAAAAGGGTCCGGATCTCCTGCGGGAATGATTTCGAAGAGCCAAAACCAAGAATTGGGTAGCATAGGGTTCGATACATGTGTTAAGCCATGACACTCGATAAAACAATACAAGGAGATGCACTTGCTTTCAGTGTTGTATGATGGGCATATAAGATCAAGGTGTCCCAAGCTTAAGTAGAATTCAACAATAGTCTAGATGTCGACATAAGGAAGTTCAGTTGAAAAAAAAAAAAGAGGAACCAAAGGCAAAGGAAAGGCATATGTCATGATAGCAGACGAGGCCTAAGGAATCACCAACATGTGTTTCTTGGCAATAATTATTGTACCCTAGTTTTATTTGATTCAAGTACATCTAGATTGTTTCAACTACTTGAATATAAGAGCTAAACAACTAGAGTAAGAGTAAGGTACTAATAACCATTGATGGTGGTTAGTCAAAGGTTAATGAGATTCTTTAGGATTGTTCTATCAATCTAAATGGTAAGAATTATCTAGTTAAGTTGATGTGCTTAATGGTTTCGTTGACAAAGAATGATGCAGAAGTGGTGTTTGAAAATGATACAATTAAGATACAAACCTTGAATGGAGAATCAGTACATGTGTATAATGCTAGATGGATAGGTGAAATAGGAACTATCTCACGTAAGATCAAAATAAGACATGAAGGGACCGACATGAAGAGGTGTACTTCTTATAGTAGCGCAATTATACGTGTTAGGCTATTGAACCATTGTTAGAATACTTCCGCAAATATAAAGTTTATGATATTATTCTGTCGAACTAAGTTGAAATGTAAGTATGACATAGGAAGTTATAAGATATTTTGAGTTTGCATATATCTAAATGATAAGGAATGGAAGATAGTTGGTGACTTGTTTGATGTTATGGAAACGAGGTTGAAGATATCTTGGTTGATGATAAACTTAAATTCGTAGAAGAATCCATAGCTATTACTGAGCATAAAATTAAGAAACTTCGAAACAAAGAGGTATCATTGGTATTAGTTCATTGGGACTATTCTTATGGATCAGAGGCAAAATGGGAAGCTGAGTCAGAAATGAGGAATAAGTACCCACATTCTTTTGAGTAAAATTTCAAGGACGAAATTCTTATAAGAAAAGGGAGAATTGTAACACCCTAGTTTCTTTATTTGCTAAATCTCAATGTTTAAGCCTTAAATACAAGATTTTGTAAGTAGATTAAATACTCTTAAAAGAGTCCCAACAGCTGAAGCATTTATTAACTATCATATTCACAAAGCAAGTAGCTTACAAAGCTACTTATAAACAAACGACTTGAGCCACAAAAATCTTATAACAAAGCAAGCTAGTTATGAGTTGTCAAGGCTAGAAGCATGTGTTGGCAAAAATCATGATGACAAGCAAGAGCTAGAAGCATGACAAATAAAAGCTAGAAGCATGAGGTGTCAAGATTATTTTATATTAAGCATGAGGTGTCAGGATTCTCTTATCCTAAAAAACGAGGTGTTTACCTATCATAAGAGTACAATTTTAGGAGCAAGAAGAACAAGTAGCTAATGCAATGAATTTACCTATAAATAGTGATTGAAGTGTTATTATTAGTTCCATACCAAAAATAAGAAATCTCTCTCTTTATACCTAATCAAGCTTGAAGATAGGAATTAACGGAAAAGCTAGGCATAATCAAGGTGAGTACGTTATGAGATTTACTGGGATACATACATGCTATATATATATATATATAAATGTTTTATGCATGAAAGAGTTTTGCCATATCTTCTTGTAAAAGTTATGTTATTATTATGTAGCAAAGTACACCTTTTCTGTCATGATGCACATGTGGTATATGAACGTTTTTATACATGTTAAGTATAACCATTTAAATATCCAACGTACGGGATATAGAAAGAAGGTACATCTTGCAAATGGACCTTATTGGGCAGCCCTTATGTGGACCCGAGGTTAAAGAACGTGTGAGAAGTTGGTTTACTTAACATGTAACCGTGAGATCTCAAATAAATGTTCTTATACATGAAAGTTTATAAGAATTATGTTAACTATTTGGAAAGAATGTCTTATCATGAAACCATAACTACTCACTAAGCTTAAAGCTTATGTATTCATGTATGTATATGAGGAATCAAGGAGTAGGAACCAGCTGAAGTGTTGCTATTCTAAGATGTTAGAATATTATAAGTTGTAAATTTCCGCATTTCCGCTGCTGTAGTAACTCTATTATAATGAAATAAAAGTTTAAGATATGAAGTTTCTTTCATTGACTTGTACCAATGGCAAAGGACGATAACCCCGGGAACGGGATGTTACATGATGCATGACAGGAACTTACCCAGATAACTATTTCTCCTAAACAGAACTTATAACTATTTCCTTGTGCTTCTTTGATGGCGTGGCATCTTAATGTGGAAAGGCATAAATAGATTGAAATGAGCAATAAAGCTTGCCATTCATTCACTAACGAGTGAGTAGGAAACATGAAATCATGGCTCAGATTGAAAGGAGAAGTATAACAACTGGCTCATAAGGGCGAATTGGTTGTTCCAACCTTGGCGGATCAATACTAACCGGATACCTTTAACAATAAGTTAGCACTACAAATAATATAACAAAAGAACATGGAATTGCAATTCATGTCATAATCTCTGAGTAACTTGTACTCTTCCAATGTGTTTTTACATTTTGGTCCCTTGGATTCTTGGACAAACTCTGGACGCTAATCCAACATTGACCTTGAATTTGAATGAGTACACATTGATTTATTTTTTGAAAAATTTTCAAGGGATTTTAATAAAATCGACCCGGTACTCAATTCATACTAGGTAAAATTGATGGATCATTGATAATATTAGTCCTAAGTATGCCACCACCACCAGGTGGTCCCCCGGGCCCTCTAATATAAGTACAGTTGCCCCTCTTTACTCTCACATAACAACTGTTTGATGACAAATGTAGTCCGTCCCATATATTGTTTTTTTTAATTGTTAAGTAATTCCAAGTGACTGGTTTTGTCGTTTGACCAAACAGAACCACTTCATGCGCTTTGTATTATTATTATTATTATTATTATTGTGATAATGTATGTACTACTTGCTGTTTTATTTTATCTACTATGATAGGTTCTTTACACTAAAATTTGTTTACAAAGATTTTTATTGATCAGAAAGTTGGAAATTAACAACCCTCTCTGTGGCACTTATATTAGCTGACATCTAGTTTTGAAAATATATACAATCTGTATTTGGACTCCTCCATACATCACCTTGTAATAAATGTTCGTTGAATTCCAGGCTTTGGTGTTGATACACAGGTTTTTCAGTGCAAGTCTTGTCCTGTTTTTCATTTTATGGGTGTTGTCATCTCCTGCAAGCTCAATTCTGAACCTAAAGGTAAATATAAAACTGTCAACAGCATGTAATAAATCAGTTATAAGATGCAATTTTTCTCATTTTCACTGGGGATGCTCTACATTTTTAGGGTGTCCTCTCCATGTCATCTTCCATAAAAGAGGAAGTAAAGGTCGAAGTTCATCATACTTCAAGAAATCATAGTGATTGGGAGGACCATGGATGGTTCTACATTTCAGTTAGAATTGGCTTCTTCTTATGGGTATCAGGCTATTTTGTCTTGTTCTCAGATACTAATTACTTAGTTGTGGGCTTGTGGCCATTGATGGTCACCATCAATAAAACTGTCTATCCAAAGTAGTAATTTCCCATGTACTTCACAGGTTGCTTTGCTAAATCTTATAACCATATCTTCAACCTGGGCAAGAGTCATCGATGTCATGGACAATGAGGTGTGCTGCCACGCAACAACAACACATATTTCAGTTATTTCCTGCATATTTTAATCATGACTTGTATTCAGTCAGGTTCAAGATTGTTCGGATTTGTTGGTGCTGGTGCTACATTTGGCCAGCTTTTCGGTTCGTTGTTTGCTACAGGAATGGCGTGGTTAGGACCATGTATGTGTGCTCTTGTTCTTAACTAGGAAATGAGATTGCTGTTACTCTTCCCACATTGTGTTTACCTATGTCTGCGTTTCTTAAAATTCGCTCTCTTGTAATTTCCCCCTCTTCTTTCCAGATCTGCTTTTAATTGCTTCTCTCTTGATGGAACTTGCTGCCCAGTCATCAGAAAGGATAAACAAGGATATATCTCATAGTTCTGAAGAACTATCTCTCCTCAGGTAGATAGGCATGAAAATCTCAAATATTAGGAGGAGAACAGCTAAGTTCTTTGAATAATTCTTTGACTATTAAATTGAGTTATGATCGAATTCTCAAGTTTTCTTGTCTAACAAACTTGGTTGTAATCTCAATTCTGTAGAACAGTTATTATAGGACCACTGCGAGTCATGGGGACAAGTTATTCACAAGATGCTAGTTACATAACAGTTTATACAATACAAATAAACATAAATATTATCAACATTTAACCATTTGTTCAAGTGTTTAACACACACAAAAAAAAGAACAAGCTAACTAGTTGCACATCAGTAACACATAAGAAAGGTCACAGTGGAATATTCAATTTAGAGTTTAGAAGTTTAGTGTCACATGTAAAGAACAGAACATAACAAAACAACCTTGCATTGATACCTCGTATGTCGTGCATATTAAGCACATAAAGAACTATGGTTGCTCCATTGAATAATAAGAGGAAGAAGAAAGAAGAGGAACAAAAAATAAAAGACAAGAAACCAGAACAAAGAAAATCAATGAGGAAGAAGAAAATGACTTGCTCCAGTTGCTCCAATTGCTCCAGTTCTAGTACATCTAATTCAGTCATTGCCCATTTAGATCTTCAATTCGGATTTGGGGCACTGTTTTATGATTCAGAAGATGAATTCTCTTCATTTAAATTCCTTTTATTGGGGTAGATTTGATCCTATGACGATGCCCAAGGCGAGCAGACGCCAAGTTGTCACAATGCATAAGCATAAGCATATTCAGAGTTTGACAATGTTTTTGTCCCTTTTTAGCGGGTTTCATGTGAATCTCGGTGTCAAATTTTGCTTATTAACCTACTTGTGCTTGCAATAAGTTTCAAGAAACAGACTATTGCAGTTATACTATATATTATACATCATGACAACCATATAATGTTGCCCTTCACTTCATGTCATGAACTGGCTATGTGATTCAATATTTTCAATGACCTTTCTATTTCACTTTTAACTTTTCAACTCTTCTTAACTTCTGTTATGTTTTTTTCTTTTTTCTTTTTTCTTTTCCCTTTGTAGAACTGAATTTGGTCACCAGGATGAGACTAATGAACTAAATATAAAATTGATTCACAAAGACTCTTCGCTAAGGACTGCAAATTCAGCTGCTGCTTCAACAAAGCTTCAGTTTTGGGCTTTACTGGATGGACTACGGCTTATATGGTCCTCAACTTATTTGTTATGTGTGTCATCATATTTGTGGCTAAGTGCAATGACCTCTTCGTTCTTCTATTTTCAGGTGAATTATTACTTAGTTTGTTATAATTAATCATCATTACAAATAAACCTATTGTATTAATTTAGATCCACGAGATCCCTCTTTTGTCTTTTATTAATTGGCAGTTTGAACATTTGACAAATAATCACACAGTTTTTTTAAAGTGTCTCAAGCCAAACTATGCAATTCTGACAGGATGGAATGAGTATGTAATGCCAAAGGACAAAATGTATCGACGTTTTTCTTAGTTCTTATCTAGAATAACGATGTATTAATTTTCTCGATTAGTGTAACAAAAGTTCAGTTCTTTTTTGTACTCATTTTACTTGATGAACGGGTTTTCAGCCTATGTGGTATCGGTTGATTTTGATATGACATTTTCCAAGCAATCAACAATATAACTTGACAATTTGGCATCAACATCACCAATAATTACAAGATCTACAGGTTACCAGTCAAACTAGGTATGAAATAGGAAGAATTGAATGTTTGTTACATAAATTGAGAAAAAAAATCTTTGTTTCTATTAAATAGGAACTAATTGGCTAAACGCTTACCCGGGCAAACGCTTATTGGTAAAATTCAACACTATCACTTACTTACTGGGTAAGATTTTAGTTCACCAAAATGGTATCATATGCAACAATTTATCCGGTAAGCGCCAACTGTGGTAAGAGTCGTCGCCCTCACTTACCGGGTAAGACTCTCAGTTCTTGTGTTCGCTCTTACTGGGTAAGATTATTGGTCCTTGTCATAGTCATCTGATAAGGTAATGTGACTTGGTAAGCGCTTGCCTGGGTAAGTGTTTGTAAACGGCCCCTAAGACAAACATTGTTACAGTGTGAACTTTTGATGCATTTTGGCCTTTCACAAACTATTTAGCTGTTTTCTGCTGAAGTATCTTTTATCCTTCAAATGCAGAAAGTAACCATAATCGCGTCAGCTGTTACAAGCCCAACTGGAAGAAGACAATCGTTTGCACAGATCAATAGTTTTATTGCTGTTTTTATCCTTGCTGGTCAACTTACTGTGACGGTACTATATCTTTTGAAAATTAGTTATTAGGCCCCAGATGAATACATTTGAAACTCATAATAGACATTTGAATCTGTAAGATTTGACCTTGTACCAGAGAAATTATCATTCATCATGGTTTCAGAAAATACGTCATCATCCGTAGATTATAGTCGTTACAGCCTTACAAAAACAGTAAATGCTCCCATTTGTTCATTCCAGCATATTCAAATTCTTATTTGGCATTCTACTTAATATGGCTTATCCATGATGCTGTTATATGTACTCCGTTTCTAGATTGCAACCTGAAAGCTTTTATTCCTAAACTGCTTATGATTTTTTAGGCCAGTTTTCTTCATTACACTCCTAATTAAACAGTTCTGATGAACTACGAAAAGCATGATGGTGGGATTTTGTTATACTTCACCATAAATTTTGTTTGCATAGTTATGCTGTTAGTCTTGTAAACATCTGTCATCTATTAAGATGCAGAATAAACCCTGTCACTGGTCATCTATTAAGATGCATAATTCATTGCTTATGTAACGTTTTCCACCTTTTTCTTTATAGGGACGAATTCTTACTGTTGCGGGGGTTACTACAGCTCTTTGCTCAGCACCCTTCATTGCCTTACTGAATTTGATTGCTATCGCTATATGGCCAACTTATGTGGCAGTTGCTGTCTTGGAGACCTTTCGGAAGGTTTGAATTGCTAATTAGTTAGTGCTCATCTGTTTGAAGCTATATTTTTGTTATTTGATCACAATTGAGTCTATTAATTTCAGTATATCTACAAGATGAACAATATCCCTATGTCAGAAAGGACCCTTATGTCTTTAGGATCGATAATTGTACACATACACAATGATAATTGCGAAGACAAAATCAAACATACGATATTAATGTTGTTCAACAATTTATCTATGCTCATGATTGTTGTTAGAATACGTGTTATACTCCGTGAATTTCAGTATTACATGCATGGTTCCATTTATATGACGAAAATTGGACAGCAAATGGATAAGACGGGTTGACGTCATGCAATTTACATCTTCACAGGTGGCAACCTATGTTATAACGAGGCCAGGAAGAGAACTACTTTTCACTGTTGTCTCACAGGATGAGAAATACAAGGCCAAGGTAACACCCCCCCCCCCCC